TGAAGAAAGCAAAGAGCTTCAAGAAGGGCTCCAAGCAGGGAAAGAACAGCAAGAAGAACAAGAAGGGTAAGAAGAAGACGAAGAAGATTGTCCTGAAAACCAAGAAGGTGCCCAAAGTCGTGGAGAAGAAGCCTCAGCCAAAGAAGAAGCCTCAGCCGAAGAAGACGGTCGTTTCGAATCCCAAGAAGTCCGAAGTAACCGCCCCGAAGGTTGAGCCCAAGGCCACCCCGAAGGTTGAGCCCAAGGCCACCCCGAAGGTTGAGCCCAAGGCCAAGGTGTTCTCTGACCAGGACTTGTTCGCAGATGCCCTCGTGTATGTTCCAGAAGGGGCCAAAGAGAAGCAGAAGAAGAAGGCCCTGCCGAAGCCCAAGATCGAGAAGAAGAAGGACCTCAACGAGAAGAAGAAGAATGGCCAGAAGACAACACCCCCGACGAGCTCGAGCACCGAGAAGACCTCCACGAAGCCCGAAGCCTCCACGAAAAAGGCCTCCACAAAGCCCGAAGCCTCCACAAAGTCCGAGGCCTCGACGAAGCTACTCAAGTTTGAAGCCACGGAATGGGGCATGTGTAAGCTTGAAATGTACACGAAGAAGAGTTACATTCGACACAAGGATTCGGACCAGAAGTGGAGATCGGTTGTGAGTTCTTGCCATCCTGGTTGTCATCGTGAGATCATGCAGCAGATGGTGGAGCACGTGAAAGAGGGCAAAGCATCGGGCGAGCTCTTCGAGATTCGAGACAAGATCATGGAAAGCCTCACCTCCAGCTGATCGAAAAGTTCTGACACATCAGCGGGCTCTTAAATTTTGAGTGGTTTGTCACTCGCCGATCTGGCAGAAAGCACACTATAGGGGTAGAGATGGGGTAGAGCTGTCTGCACCGACCGAAGAGGTCTTGACAGACGAAAACAGATGTGTCGATTTACCTGTGGGGGATTGTTTTTACTTGTGCCCGTGAAAACTTGTGCCCATGAAAAGAGATGTGACGATTTACCTGTGGGACACTTTTGTGGCCATGAACAAGAGATGTGACGATTTACCTGTGGAACTTTGTTTTTACTTTTGTTGCCATGAACAACAGATGTGTCACGCTTTACTTGGGTTTAGGGTTTAGGGTTTAGGGTTTAGGGTTTAGGGTTTAGGGTTTAGGGTTTAGGGTTTAGGGTTTAGGGTTTAGGGTTTATAGGGTTTAGGGTATATGGAGGTGAGCGAGGAGGAGTGGAGTTTGTTTTTACTTGCGACATTATACCTGGACGAGTTGATGAGAAGTTGTGGCGAGCTGATGACATATGTTCTGGTGAGTTTTTGGCCGAGTGAAAGTATGTCAGAGGAGCATGCAGCTTGTAGTTACAGCAGAGACGTGTAGAGAGTTCGGGTTATACATGTGCAGAGGCTTCGAACCTACTTGTCGTTTGCCGATGTCCATCGCTGCTCTGTTTTGAAGATTGTTTAGGCTTTCTCTGAGCGAGCCTGAGCCATGAGAGTCTATGTGAAGAATGTCGCATTCGACTCCCCTAAGTGGGTGCTTGGGCATTCATATAGTTTTACTTTTCCTGCGAGCTATAATTTACAAAAGCGCCCCCAAACAAGCTGAAGCCCACAAACACAAATCTGAGGCAATCAGGAAAGTCCTCGAAAAGTGGGGAATCGTGACGTGTTCGGAGATACAAGTGGTCCGTACCAACTACTGGGAGATGGGGATGGAGAAGCCGATGCATTGCTCATTGTTTCTCACTTTCGAATCTTGGCTGCAAGCTTTTTACACAGAGGGAAGTGTAAACTGTGTAAACCCTACACCCTAAACCCCTAAACCCTATAAGCCCTAAACCCTAAACCCTCTGAACCCTAAACCCTCAAGGTTTTTGAGGTCTCAGGGTTAGGATGTATAGGGTTTAGGGTTTAAGGTCTATAATCTATATGTATGTGTATATATATATATATATATGTATAGAGGTATAAAAGGTTTAGGGTTAAGTTTTTCTGTCGTTACTTTATTGTTATATATCGGGGGTTTTAAGCTTACCTGTGGCGACAACCACAAGGGCACTCGAGAAGAAGCAGAGCAGATGATCAGCACCTTCCATGGCCAGTGGGTGGACGAGCTTCTTGTGCTTAAACCCTAGAAGCCCCTAAACCCTAAACCCTAAACCCTAAACCCTAAACCCTAAACCCTAAACCCTAAACCCTAAACCCTAAACCCTAAACCCTAAACCCTAAATGTAGACCCCTGTAAAAACTCTATACATGTTCTTACATCAGCTGTGCCTAGGTTGTGCATCCACAAGTGCCTTCATGCCGAGTTGGCACGGCCTCCGAGCTCGGCTCCTCATTTGGCCACTGCTTTGCCTGCAGCGGCAGCGAAGGCGACTCAAGCCCCTCCATGGCACTCTCCGGCCCCGTTGCCAGGCCCCCCGCCCTATCCTTGGTTCCCTCCCTTGCCACCAGGGCACCCGGCATTCCACATGCCCGCTTTTTTGGGAAGTCCAGAGCAGCCAGCTGCAGTGCCGAAAAGGCAAGCAGAGCCTATGCTGGAGGAGGAGCAGACAGCCTTGTGTGTATCTTTGTCTCATGTTGCATGTGTTGTTTTTGTGTTGCGAAGAGAAAAGAGAAAGGCTTCAAGAGTTTGTGCTTTCGACGAAGAAGAGAGTTTACTTTCGGCTTTTGTTTTTGGATAAATACGGGGTGGACCTTTTTACATGTGCTCTATATAAGGATCCCTACCTGCTTGTGGATGAAGGCGACATGGAGGGCGAGGAGGTCGACGATCAGCTCCTTGCAGAGCAGCTGGGCCAGGCTATGGCGGCGAACCCTCTCCCGGAGCCTCTCCCTGCACAGGAGGCAGAGGGCGAGAAGGAGGAGGGCAATGAGGAGGAGGACAATGAGGAGGAGGACGAGGAGGAGGAGGACGACAACAAGGAGGAGGAAGAGCAGGAGGTGAGAGCAAGTCGCGAGAGGAAGAAGAAGAAGTCGAGAAGGTCACCCTCGCGATCTCGATCCAGATCCCGGCGAAGGAGGAGGCGATCATCGAAGAGGCGATCTTCGAGCTCCTCAAGTCGTGGCATCCTGCTGAGGCTCGGCCGTGATGGCAAGCTCAAAAGAGCCAGATAAGCCTTTTCGTGGTCGTTCGACTAATTAATTTTCGCAGTTTCTCTTACTGCGACGAGCCGAGGCAGATGCCTTGTGTGATAAGAGCCACCGAACACCCGAGGCTGAGAGAGAAAAAGAATCGTCAGACAGGGCAGAGAGGGTTTTTTAATACTAAATCCTTAAACCACACCAAGCAAACCTCAAACCCGGAACCTCTGAAACTCTTAACCCCTGAATGCTGCCCTAAATCCAACAACCTCCTAAACTCCTTTACACTTAACTCCTGATCCACCCAAAACTCAAACCCCGTTTAGGGTTTAGGGTTTAGGGTTTATATAGGGTTTATAGGGTTTAGGATTTATAGGGTTTAGGGTTTAGGGTTTATAGGGTTTAGGGTTTACAGGGTTTAGGGTTTATAGGGTTTAGGGTTTAGGGTTTAGGGTTTAGGGTTTACAGGGTTTAGAGGGTTTAGAGGGTTTATAGGGTTAAACCCTAAACCCTAAACCCAAAACCCTGAGCCCTAAACCCTAAACCCTAAACCCCCTATACCCCCCTAAACCCCCTAAACCCCCTAAACCCCCTAAACCCCCTAAACCCCCTAAACCCTAAACTCTAAACCCTCTAAACCCTATCAACCCTATCAACACTAGGGTTCAGGGTTTAGGGTTTAGGAGGAAACCCCCTATACCCAAAACCCCATAAACCCTCAACACACTGAACCCATTCCAGCTTACATGTGAGGTTACATTTGAATCAAGCATTGTGCACAGTTTACGTGTGAGGTTCATTCTGAACCAAGCGATGCCGGAAAAGTTTAGGGTCTAGGGTTTAAGGTTTAGGGTTTATAGGGTTTAGGGTTTAGGGTTTAGGGTTTAGGGTTTAGGAAACCCCAAACCCAAAGCACCAGAAACCCTGAACATTCTAAAGCAATTGCAGTTTACATGCGAGGTTACATTTGCAGCAAGCATCGTCTACATGTCACTTCCACAGTTTACGTGTGAGAGAACCACGAGCTTTCTTCACATGCTAGTGTATATAGGAAACATTCTCACAGGTGTGTAGTCGTGTTCGGGCACCCCGAACCCTCAACCCCCAAGTGAATCCGAAAGCCCAACCGAACCCTTATATAGTTCTATGTAGGCCCGTTGGCTCTCCATTTTTGCAAACCAACCAATGTTTTTGATTGTTTCTGAGATTTTTTGGGTGTTTCTTGGTTGTTTTTTCTTGTTTTTTTAAGAGTTGTTTAAAAATTTTTGGCTTGCTTTTTACAAAATCCCGATGCAGTTTCGATGCTGTTTCGATGCTGTTTTAAAAACTGCATCGAAACTGCATCGAAATCGATGCAGTTTTAAGGAAAACTGCATCGAAACTGCATCGGTTTTTAAAACAGCATCGAAACGGCATCGAAACGGCATCGAAACTGCATCGGGATTTTGTGAAAAGCAAGCCAAAATTTTTAGAAAATCTCTGGAAAAAAACAAGAAACCGGACACAGTGCCTGCAGCGATTTCTGCTTTTCCTGTTGCCGGGCCGAGACCGGAACGACATCATGTCCAGCCAGGCACACCTTTGCAAGCCCTAAACCCAAACCCCCAAGCCCGAAACCATTCAAGTGTAAGTTTTTGAAAACTGTTCGGGTTGTATATTGTTTTGTGCTTTGCAACACAGGCTGCCGAAGTTGAGGAGGACGTGGCCCAAGCTCCTGTGGAGGAAGACGACGAGCCCCAGGTGATGAAAAAACCTTCGGCCAAGGTTCCCTCGCAGGCCAAGGCAAAAGCCAAGGCCAAGGCAAAGGCCAAGGCCAAGGCCTCGGCCAAGGCCTCGGCCAAGGCGAAAGCCAAAGCCAAGGCCAAGGCAAAGGCCCCGACCAAGATGAAGGCGAAGGCCCAAAAAAAAACGAAGGCAGCCTGTGCAATGGCCAAGGCCTTGGCCTTGGCCAAAGCAAAGGCAGAGGAAGAGCAGAATGTCCAGGAAGAACAGGCCGAAGAGGAGCACCCTCGCTCGCACGATGCTTGCATCGACCCGGCTACTCTGCAGGTCGCCTCGACAGAAGATGCTGGCGAGAAGACCAAGAACAGGAGTAAGAACCAAAAGTTTCTCAAGCTTCTCCGTTCCGGTGGCTTGCCGGAATGGCTCGAGGATGAGTGGAACCGGTTGTCAAAGATGAAGGTGGGGCGACTCGAGGCGCAGCGCCAGCTGGTCAACCAAGCCATGGACAAGGATGCATCCTCCGGAAAACTCGTGGTCTCTCTGGAGAAACCATTCTTCAAGCAGCTACAGGTGCTCGTTTCACCTTCTGAGAGAAGACTATAGTTTTATACAGAGCCCTAAATCCTAAACCGGTAACGGCAACCTTAACCCTATATGTAAACCCTTGTACTTTATGTTTAAATATAAACATAAATAATTACATAAATAAATATATAAATATAAATAAATAAATATATATATATATATATATACATTCATATTTATTTATTTATGTACTAATGCAAAAATATAAAAAAAGAAAAATATAAATCTATTCATATAAATATAGATACAAAACTAGATATATAAAAGTATATATATATATAGATATGTATAAAGGTATATGACAGATATACTCAGATAATCCAGAAATGTAATATCCCACAAGTAAATCCTAGACTCTGTGCAACCCTATGTTTCAACTTGTCTCGTGCTCTCTACACACAGGAGAACTTTACCCAGACTGCCAGCAAGTCCGCCCAGAAGGCACTTCCGAGGGTGCTCCTCATGGGTAAGTTCAACCTTACCCAGGAGATGTTCGACCAAGCTATTGAGGACGGCGATATCATAGAGAGCACGAACATCAAGGGCAAGAGGGTTTACTCCTGGACCATGGAAGAGCACGTGGTGAAGAGAGGCAAGCACAGCAAGTTCAGTGAGGAGAAAAGCAAGCAAGGAACAAGCCGAGACGAGAAGTACATGGACAATCTCTCCAAAAACTGGAGGGTGGGCCTTTTCGAAGCCTCCTCGGGCTCGAGTGGCTCGGCAAGCAAGCCTTCCACTTTGGCAATCAAAGATGTTGCCCCCGACGAGAGAGCATTGACGAAGAAGCAGTGGCAAGATGCCAAGGCACAGCTTGCATCTATGATGTCAGCTTTCGACCGGCTTGTGCAGAATGGCAAGAAGCTGATCAACCAGATGGGGTCTGAGATGAAGGCAGATCCACTGTACCTGCAGCTGCTCTTTGCCTGCTCTCATGTAAAAAGTTACCAATGTCTGCTCATGTAAAAAGTTACCAATGTGGACTTGTGAGTGTGTCTACACCCTAAACTCATAAACCCTACATATAAACCCTAAACCCTAAACCCGTTTGTAGATATAGATTTTTTTGGTAGGGTAAAGGGTGAGTGCTTCAGGGTCTGGGGTTTGGGGTATAAAGGGTTCAGAGTGTCTGCCCTTTGGGTCTTGTATAATTCGTGCTTGAGGAAGCAAGTCGTGCAGAAGGCCTCTGGTCACAAATGCAGCTTGGAGCATGTGTGGAGCTGGCAGGACACCCTATATATCCAACCTTTTTAGAACCCTGTAAATTGTACACATGTGACTGCATAGGAAAAGATTTACAAAGCGATAGCCTTCTCTCTCTCTCTCTCTCTCTCTCTCTCTCTCCAGGAGATGCCGGATGGATCCGAACTCATCCTCAAGACCTACAAGCAGCTCATCGATCAAGCTAGCCAGGATGCCGAAAGCTTGGAGGAGCAGGTTGCAGCCGGCAGGGCGCAATTGACAGTGAGGGCTGCACGAAAAGCTGGCAGTAAGTAGCCACAGCAAAAAAGTAGCTCTCCACAGCCATCGGGCCAGTTTTGGGCGAACTTTCGAAGCAGACGGGCAAGCTCTAGATATAGTGCATCCTGTGTACAAACACCATCTCTTGTCACAAGGTGCATATATACTTTTGGGTCGATGAAAGAGAGCAGAACGTCCGACACACATTGTTTTCCACAGAGCAGGATATCTCCAGTTCGGGAGGTTTTGACATTTTGACTGCAGATCTGCGGGCACTCGCAAAGCAAAAATCGGAAGTATTGCTCGTCGTCCTTTGGTGGTGGCTGCCTTTACTTTTGTCGTCAGCTGCTTCTATGTTTTACTGTTGTCTATACCTTTGTCGGCAGCTGCTGGCTTCCAGACTTTACTTGCAGAGTTTACGATCGTGCAGTGGGTCCAGCTGAACAAACTATAGCACCCTATAAGGTTTAATGTTTAGGATGCAGCTGTACAAAAATAGCACCCTACATAGGGTTAGGTTTGGGATGCAAAACAAGTTTCGGGTTAATATAGGGTTAACAGGGTTTAGCCCAAAACCCTAAACCCTAAACCCTAAACCCCGTTGCACAGACCCTAATACACTTCGCCCTAAACCTTTTATAAACCCTTTTGTTAACCCTTAACCCTTTCTTGTGTCGTGTCGCCAGCCACACGTCCAAATCGGTCGCAGTCATGGAAGAAGCTGGGCCTGCTATGAAAAGAAGACGGGGTCAGCAACAGCGACTGCAGCATGCCTCAGCTGCTATGGAAGCAGAATCGGCTTTGGAAAGCTTGCTGATGGAATCTTTCGCCTCAGGAGCTATATCAGGTGCGTTTTGTCATGCAGTGATCAAAGCAGCTGTGCAGGACATTACAGAAGCAAGGGACAATGGTTCCACTTTCCCCCTGATGGAGAAGCTCGCTCATATTGTGCATTCGAAGAATTTCAACCAGGCCTTGGAGGTCGCCCTCAAAAACAAAGCTGAGCTCATGGCCCCGATGGAAGTAAGCATTCCCCTGCAGGGTGCTCCAGACAATGAACCATCGTGCCGGATCATGCTTCCCCATGAGATGTTGCATGGAATGTACACTAGTTCCTCTGGTTGGCAGAAGTCTATTTTGCCCAACCCCGACCACCTTGCAAGGTTTTGGTCCACCTTTAAGGGCCACCCTTGCATGCAAGGGCACGATGTTCTGAAGCGCCCCGGCTTTGAACAGTGTGCCATCCCCCTCTGTCTTCACGGGGATGAGGTGCCCGTGGTTGGAGTAGGAAAAATTTGGTGCCACAGTGTGTTGCAGTTTAGCTTCAACAGTTTGATGGCGACGGCGGCTGGGAGATCGGCAGAGGATTGTCAAATCTTCATCTGGGGCATCTTTGAGAAGTATGTCTTGCCGGAAACTGCCAGCCTTTTTTGGACTCTTGAAGTGGAGCTTCGACATTTGCTACTCCGGTCGATGGCCGAGCAGGGATTGGAGGGGGGTCAAGTGCCATGGCTCCTTACCTTAGAGATGCAGATGAGACCCAACACCCTAAACCCTATAGTCACTATATATATATATATATATATATATATAAGGCCTAGACACCAAAGCTATTTTTTATCGCAAGAGACGAGGTATGCTATACGGTATAAAACAGCCCCAAACCCTTTTGACACCAAACCATTTTTATCGCAGACGAGGTATGCTCCCGGTACCCCTGAGGCTCGTCGTGCTGGATCCCAGCTCTGTGCCGGGTACTTCGGGGTCCTACTCCAGCTGAATGGGGATTTAGACTATTTCGCGAAGTGGTTGGAAACCCCTCGCTGGTCAAGTCATGCAAAGCCCTGCAGCCTCTGCAGGGCAACTTTTCGTGGCGAGCTCTCTTGGCTTGACAATCGCCCTTCGTCGCCTTGGCAGGACCTGCCTTACCACAGCAAATTGGAGGAGCCACTGGTCACCAACCAATCCAATCTTCAGGCTGCCTGGAATGAGTGGACTTTCCTGCAGCATGGACCTGATGCACAATCTTTACCTCGGCTGGCTACAATACTTCTATGGAAGTACCGTCACAATCATCATCGAAGATTGTCTCCCGAACTCGCCTTTGCAGAACCTTGCATATGTTTCCGCTTTCATCAAGGACTACCAGAAGAATCAAAAGAGAAAGTTCAAACAACGATTGCACAAATTGACGATGGTCCAGCCAAAGAAGGGGTATCCGAAAATGCGAGGCCGAGCAGCCGACATGCAGAGCTTGCACGATGCACTCCTTGCCCTTTTCACCGAGGAGATGGACGAGACGAACACACAGCACAGACGAATTCGTTTGTTCCTTGAACTCAACAAGCAGGTGCAAGATTCGTTGGATGAGTTCTCGCCCACTTTTGGGTTCATGGCCGTTCCGGAAGAAGAGGCCTCGGCGATTTTTAGGAAAGGCCTCACCATGGCTCAGCTTCATGTGATGTTGTTCGAGCACTTCAAGAGCGAGGAGAGGAAGATCTTCAATCTGACTCCCAAAACCCATTTTGTCCTGCACAGTCTTTGGTTGTCCCGATATATTCACCCGGCCATGTTGTGGTGCTATAAGGGTGAAGCCACAATGCACCGATTGCAGGTGCTCTGGAAGTCCTGCTTGCCGGGGTGCAAGCATTGGCAAGTAGGGATGAGAGCAGCTCTAAAGGAGCGGTACCTGCTTTGGCTCAAGGGCAAGGTGTGAATCTGCCACCACAACTCGCACGACGAAAATCATCTTGCCTCTCAACAGTAAAGCTTGCATGCATCGTGTTTCCTTGTGAGGTCTCATGTAAAAGGTTACTCTTGAGTAAAGTTTCCTTATGTGCTCTCATGTAAAAGCTTTGCTTTTGAGTAAAGTTTCCTTGTGAGCTCTCATGTAAAGGGTTTAGTTTTGAGTAAAGTTTCCGTGTGAGCTCTCATGTAAAAGCTTTGCTTTTGAGTAAATTTTCCTTGTGAGCTCTCATGTAAAAGGTTTAGTTTTGAGTAAAGTTTCCGTGTGAGCTCTCATGTAAAAGCTTTGCTTTTGAGTAAAGTTTCCTTGTGAGCTCTCATGTAAAAGGTTTACTTTTGAGTAAAGTTTCCGTGTGAGCTCTCATGTACAAGGTTTACTTTTGAGTCAAGTTTCCTTGTGAGCTCTCATGTAGAAAGTAGAAGGACGTCTTGGGTGACGTTTCCTTGTGACCTCCCATGTAAAAGGTTTACTCTTGAGTTTCAGGACTCGCTGTACAGCTTACTTCCGTCGTACAGTGTCTCATGAGCTAGGCCAAGTTTTTTTGGGATTCATTTTTTGTTACATGTTGTCAATAGTTGTGTGCTGTTTTTTTTTGTGCTCTTGTTGATGTGTTTTTGCACACTTTTATACGTTTTAATGATGTGTTTTTGCTTTCATCGGTTTTTTGGGTGATGCAGTTTTGATGCTGTTTTGATGCCGTTTTGATGCTTTTTTCTGGTTTTGGCAAAATTTACATTTACTCGAAAATTTACTTTTTTTCAAGTAAAATTTTCGATTAGTGTAAATTTGCCCAAAATGTAAATTTACTTGATTTGCAGGGTTGGGGGAGCGAGGAGGCTGAGGGATACGCGGCAAGCTTGTTGCGAGGAATGCTGCGGAACATTGCGTTTCTGCGCGAACATTGTAAAGCAGAAGCTCTGTTCCGAAGCTGTACAAATATTGCACCCGTGTACGGCAGAGGTGTCCCTCTGTCGCCGGCCGAATTTTCGCAAGACAGCGTCCATTCGGCCGCGCGCAGTGAGAGCCTAGACTACGCGAGGCAGCTCGCCGTCCTCAACGCAACTTCACAAGCAAAAGCCTTGGGTCGCCGCACATCAGGGTTTACGCAACCACTCCAAAGAGTACTTCTTGCTCTTGGCATAGTACACTCTGCAGTCATCACCAACCTTGCCACCCTCAGCTGGCAACAAGCGAAAGTCCTGCACACGGACTTTGAAGTTGCAACTGCTGCTGAGTGTGGAGAGGAGCGACTCCTTCAAATCCCCGACAGTGCTGGAGGTGTTCACGACTCGCCATGCAGTCCAAGTGGCAGATATCCAGACTTGCACCTTGCGCATAGTAGGCATATAAACCAGCGGCATGTAAGTCGAGTAGGCATTGGTGTCGGCCTTGCAAAACACACTTCCATCGCTTAGCTGATACCTTACACCAGAATATACGTGCCCATCTTCAGCTGCGGCGGAGGTGTCCGTCTCTTGCAGACGGAAATTTCGCAAGACAGCGTCCATTCGGCCCTGGCAAAATACCACCTGGAAGTCACTAGGGCCAATGCTTCGGCGAGGGGCCATGCTGCGGTTCCGCTTCAGTGCACCATCAAGCAGCAGCAGAGTGGCACTGAGGCTGCGCACCGAAGTCCAGCGCAGCCAAGCTGCACCTCTAGCACGGAAACCACGCCGCAGCGCCTGCGTAGCATCCCCGCCGGTGTACGACATGCCTGGAACTACAATACAGCGCACCGTCCAAGCTGGCGCCACGGTTTCACTCAATAGCGCCTCTCGGGCCAAAGCTAGCACGCACGCTTGTAAAGCAACGCATCATGAGGTGGCCAACACAGCAAAATGTCAAAGCATGAATTCAGTTCTACGCATGCGGCACACGCAGACAGTGCAGGATGCCTTCTCGTGTTTCTTGATGTTGTAACACCACCTACACGCAGCAACAGTGCAAACAACAGACATGCAGCACCCGAACGCTAGCACAGACACACAGTGCGGGATGCCTTCTCCCCTTCATTGATGTCGTCGCGCCCCAGGACATCCAAATCGGACATCGCCCAAACATGTTACATTTGATCACTTCCCACAGAGAGACGAGTCTAAGCGCAGGACTGGTTGCCTCCCTCCAATCGACATCACTGTTTTCCCGGTCCACTGCATGTTCCGTGCCCATGTTATTTGCGACGTTTTCGAAGCCCAAGAGGTCCGCACGTCCGGAATTCCGCTTCCATGCTATTTGCGAGGTCTTCAAGCATGTCCGGAATTCCGCTTCCATGCTATGCTATTTGCGGTGTTTTCAAGCGCCCAGTTGTCCGTTACCATGCTATTTGCGGTGTTTTCAAGCACCACGTGTCCGTTACCATGCTCTTTGCGGTGTTTTCGAGCGCCCAGATGTCCGTTACCAAATAGCGAGGTTTTCAAGCATGTCCGGAATTCCGCTTCCATGCTATTTGCGAGGTTTTCGCATGTCCGGAATTCCGCTTCCATGCTATTTGCGGTGTTTTCAAGCGCCCAGTTGTCCGTTACCATGCTATTTGCGGTGTTTTCAAGCGCCATATGTCCGTTACCATGCTCTTTGCGGTGTTTTCGAGCGCCCAGATGTCCGTTACCATGCTATTTGCGGTGTCTTCATGCGCCCAGATGTCCGTTACCATGCTATTTGCGGTGTTTTCATGCGCCCAGATGTCCGTTACCATGCTATTTGTGGTGTTTTCAGACGCCCAGCGTGTCCGCGGCGTACTACGTCTGTACTACAAACAGTCGACAAGCATGTCCGGAATTCCGCTTCCATGCTATTTGCGAGGTTTTCGCATGTCCGGAATTCCGCTTCCATGCTATTTGCGGTGTTTTCAAGCGCCCAGTTGTCCGTTACCATGCTATTTGCGGTCACGGAAGCTCCGGGTGTCCGCGGCGTACTACGTTTGTACTACAAAAAGTCGACTTTGCAGCCACGGAAGTCCCCGGCGTACTATGTCTGTACTACAAGAGTCGAAAAACAAAAAACGCAAAAACACGACGGTTTTGGCACCGCGACCACGCGAAAACCCGCAGAGGGGTTACGTTTGTATGTCAGGAAACGCAAAAACACGACGGTTTTGGCACCGCGCCAACGCCGACACCCGCAGAGGGGTTACGTTTGTATGTCAAAAAACGCAAAAACACGATGGTTTTGGCACCGCGCCAACGCGGAAACCCGCAGAGGGTTGACGCGCGCGCGAAAAAAATGCAAAAAAACGATGGTTTTAGCACCGCGACCCGGCGATTAGCTGCAGAGGGTTGTCCGCGCACCGACAAAAACGCAAAAAAACGACGGTTTTAGCACCGCGACCACGCCGAAACCCGCAGAGGGTTGTCCGCGCACCGACAAAAACGCAAAAAAACGACGGTTTTAGCGCCGCGACCACGCCGAAACCCGCAGAGGGTTGTCCGCGGACACAAAGAAACGTAAAAAAACGATGGTTTTAGCGCCGCGACCACGCCGAAACCCGCAGAGGGTTGTCCGCGGACACAAAGAAACGTAAAAAAACGACGGTTTTAGCACCGCGACCACGCCGAAACCCGCAGAGGGTTGCAATCCCGATTGGCGATGTCAACCCAGCCCGCCGCCTTAGAAAGAGTAATTTTAATTTAGAAATCTAGGACTGGGTACGAAGGTATAGAAAAAATACGTAAATCTTGAAGTTTGTGTTCACTTGTATACTAAACTCTATGCAATTCACTCTATGCACTTCACTCTATGCACTTAACTCTATGCACTTCACTCTATGCACTTCACTCTATGCACTTCACTCTATGCACTTCACTCTATGCACTTCACTCTATGCACTTCGCTCTATGCACTTCACTCTATGCACTTCACTCTATGCACTTCACTCTATGCGCTTCACTCTGTGCACTTCACTCTGTGCACTTGCCTCTATGCACTTCACTCTATGCACTTTGCTCTATGCGCTTCACTCTATGCACTTCGCTCTATGCACTTCACTCTATGCACTTCGCTCTATGCACTTCACTGCACTTCATGCACTTCACTCTATGCACTTCACTCTATGCACTTCACTCTATGCACTTCACTCTATGCACTTCAGTCTATGTTGTTGTGTCAGGGGGCTCCGCACGGAAGAACCCTTCGCGATGCTTTCGGGAAAAAAAAAGACCCTCATCGAGTCCCTGGCGACCATGTGGCTGCTGCAGCGAAACATCTGGCAGAGTCGTTTAGGTTCTCTCCGTCGTTCATGTAGCTTTTGGAGGGGCGTTTGGAGACACGATTTTTTTGCGTGGATGCAGCACACGCAATGGTTTCTCTCCAAGTGTCGGCAAACAAAGCACAATCGAAGTTGGTCTTCACCTCTTTTTTGCAGCTGGACCGTGCTGCCGGAGACCTCTGGAAAACTTGAAACCATTATGAGCCATGATGGCAAGAGGTGCTCGAATTTCACTGCAGCTGCGATGCAAGCTCGGAACTGTAGGTTTAGGGTTTAGGGGTTAGGGTTTAGGGTTTAGGGTTTAGGGGGTAAGGCTTTACGGAAAATTGAACTCGGAAATTCATCTAAGGAATCGGTTCGATTGCCTGACCTATGGGATCCGTCGCCTTGGGCGATGAGCTGCGCAGTTCGCTGACTTCCTTCTCCACGTAGCAGTAGCCCTTTCGTTCCAGCCAAGCAACTTCGGCTTTCTGGGAATTACCAAGGCCTTCTGCTGCTTCCAGGAACTGCCGGTCTTCCTCCGGAAGCCAAGCCAAGAAGAGGCGATGTACCTCCCGAGCGAAGGGCGAAGAGGAATCGGGGCCTTGATTCTTCGACAAGTGTCCCAGGCCGGAGTCCAGGGCCTGCTGGTAGTCCATTGACTTCTCGAAGTCCGCTTTGCGGGCGAAGATCGCTTCGCGACGCATGTGCTCCTGCCCCGCTGTCAAGAAATCCTTGACTTTGCCTTTGCCCTTTTTGCCGTTGAAGAAGTAGACATCAAGAATGGCGCCCTTCTTAACGGCCAGCTCGATGTTAGCAATCCACTTGGACCACCATCTGCAGCCCCACGGCTTCTTTTCACCGTAGAGCGGTATGCACCAGCAGTCGCCATGCAAGTCCTGTCATATATAAATACACATGTAGCAAGAATAGCAATCATAACAGCAAGAATAATAATATTTCCACACCCTCGGTGTGGGGTTGTTAGAATTTAAACTCTTCTCCTCGCCCGGTCTACTCCTCGCTCAACCCAGGGTGCCCAACCCCAGAGTGTCCGTGGAGTGCCCATGGGCCTGCGGTGCCCAATCCCAGACTGTCCCTTGCGTGCCCAACCCCAAGTGTTCCTGCAGTGCCGAACCCTGGAGTGTCGAAATCAGGAGTGCCCAATTTCAGAGTCTCCCGAGTCTCCCTGGAGTGCCCAACCCCAGAGTCTCCCTAGAGTGCTCAACCCATTCTCCCTGATTGCCCAACTTCAGAGTCTCTCCTGGAGTGCCAGAGTCTTGCTGGAGTGCCCAATTTCAGAGTCTCTCGAGAGTCTCCCTGGAGTGCCCAACCCCAGAGTATCTACCCAGAGAGGGTGGGGCTGTTTGAAGTAACGCAATTTTTAAGAATAAGTCCTGTAAGCTGGGCTTCGAAGGAATGGGATCGTGCAACCCGAAGTGTTTGGAGCCTTCGGGCAGAAACACGACCGCCGCACTGATGTCGTTTTGGCGACTGCCCTCCACCAGAGCATCCCATGCGGAGGCATACTTGCCGGGCCAGGAACATACCGTCTCCCGGTTTGGGATAACGTTTCCTTCAAAAACGATGGTGTGCTGGTGGGTGGTGTACACAGCCGCATCCACTGAGCGCTTGGGGGGCTGCAACAAGAATGCCGTGAGGTTTTTCCCACAGGGCTGAACCAAAGTCTCGAATAGGTCTCCTTCCGACCCGAAATATGCGCAAACTGCCATGAGCGTCGGAATCACAAGGATGAAGGCGGACAACCAATAGATTTTTTCGGGGCTGACCTCGTCCTTTTTGCCGCTGGCCCCAGTCCAGAGGGCGGCCACTGTCATGGCAATGGCGCAGCCGAAGCCGACTAAACCGGTGCAACAAGTGAGGAGAAGAGGAATCAGAATCTTGCAGTGGTGCCAGGATGGCTTCGTGAACAAGTCGAGCAGTCCGTCCAGCGCAGCAGCGTTAGGATCACGCAGCCTGAAACTCCGGAGCTCAGGCTGCGTGGCCTGGATTGCACTTTCCATCTCGGCAGTTTGGTGTCTGTCGGCTTCTCCTGAGGCGGCACAGATTCCAACAAGTGCGAGCCAGGCACAGAGCCACAGCACCATGAACGACGTTGACAGGCCAGCACCGAGCCACTCGTTCTCCATCAACAAGAACTTCACTGTGCAAAAGATCATTGCGCCGAGGACGACGACAACGAAGAGAGAGATCCAGAAATAAGCACATGCCTGTCGGCGAAGTGCGACCCGGTTGACTTCTGCATTCATTTGTTTGCTGATCTGCCATTGCCGTATCTTTTGCAAACGGGCTTCCTGTGCCGCTGCTTCTTCTTCCTTTCGGAAATGTTTCTCAGCTTCCGCACCGAAATCCTCAAAGTCACGCGACAGCTTTAACTGGGCCACGCATTCCCTCTTCCATCTCGCCCATAGAGCGTCCAGCGCTGTCTCAGCATGTCGAATTGAGCAATGGCCAGCTTTCACTGCGTTGCACCATCCATAAACACAAGGGTCATCGCGCAGCCGCACCGAGACTGGAAGGCTTTCAGGCAACCCGAAGTCTAGCTCTGCTTTGGGGTAGATGACCTGCCACCCCCTCCCCTGCGCAAGCTGGACTTCCACCGCGCTTTCCAAGTCGTTGCAAAGGGTGCAAGTCTTCGGCTCATAGGGAAAGAGTTCGAGAGCATGTGCTGCCGGGCTTTCCTGAGCAATCTTCTCGCCCAGAATGTCAACATGGAACTCTTCTTGAGGACCATCGGTTGGGTCCCCAGGGCAACTCTCACAAAGAGCGAGCATGGTCTCCTGCTTCTCAAAAGGCTCCGGCACGGTTAGGCAAAGGTCTGGTCGAATTACGCCATGGAGCAGAAAAACTCTGAAAATCGTGAAGGTGTGCACCTAGACCCTTGTCATTAGGGAAGGAGGACTGTGGGTGCTGATGACCCTAAACCCTAAACCCTAAACCCGAAACCCTAAACCCTAAAGCCTAAACCGACTTCGGAGGCCCAAAATGTCCAACGACTTGGCTCAGATGACTGGGCTGATCACCTCTACCCGGTCTTGGGCCCCAAGACTCCTGGCTGGTTTTTGGTGGGGAATGAGGGAACCAGGTCCCCTATAGAGAATCCCTTAAGGGGTATATATGGCGCCCTAATTCCTTCATTCCCCTAAACCCTAAACCCTAAACCCTAAACCGTAAACCCTAAACCCTAAACCCTAAACCCTAAACCTAAACCGCAGCTCAAGAACCAGGGGGACTCACAGCTCCAAGTCCTACTACTCGAATTTATGGAGCCAACCGCCCCCGAAAGCAACATCATAGCATATCATAATAGCGTTTAGGGTTTAGGGTTTAGGGTTTAGGGTTTAGGGTCGGTGTCTCTAGTTCATCCTGCGGATAAATTGCTTACACTCGTGCTTACAGTCGCCAGGATATCGGGGGCGTGTGTGAATATACACACGCATACCCAGAGATCGTGTATGCCCCTATTGAACTTGTGGGAACACATGCAGCAGATGAAACACCCCAAGCGTCCATGTAACCATGGACCTAAATAGCGTATACTTGGGCCTCAAAGAACCTCCTATATAAGGACTTTGGGGCCCAAGTATACCATCATAAGGTACATTGGATCCTCAGAAGCATGCATGAAGATGCCTGCTTTCCGTTCGCATCGAACCTGGGATTTCATTGCCTAGGCGCTGTGGCCAGGCAGCTTACTTGGAACAGCTGCTAAGGCAAGTCCCATATTAAGTTTTGACTGAGCCTTCGATTCATTTTCAGTCTGGAATCGCAGCCTACGATTCTTAGAACCTTGCAACACCCTGAACAATGTACCTAGATTCACCCATGTACACTTACGAAAGGGAAGTTGTCTTAGCTATTCGGCTATGATTATCCTTCCTGTCGAGAATAATAACTCGGTAAACCCCAAAGCAAAACGCTCTACGCCCGCAGCCTCCATCAAATTGATTTGTGCCGACGATGCATCCTACAAGCGGGACGACAATGTGTTGTCGTCGCACACATCTCTTCATCCCGAAACCCCAAACCTTAACCCTAACCCCTAACCCCATATTCACGGCTTGCCGCTTGGGATGGTTTGGGGTTCAGGGACCCACTACGAACTATCAGAAGCTCTCTCGCACGCGCGCTCAGCGCGAGTACTGGATGGCCGCGCGACTTCCCGGCTCCATGATTGGCTTGATGAGGTCACTGATGACCTCGGCACACTTTCGGCTTCAAAGCAGGGTCCTGAAACGAACTCTATCTGGCTACATGTAGCCACAACCACAAGTACGCAGGAACATGGCCTATGTGTATACATATATATATATATATATGTACATATGTATATATATATATATATATATATATATCGTGCACCCTATGCTTTCTATCCGTGCAAACGTAGGTAAGCACTCCTTGCTGTGGAAGCTACTGGTCAGCATCATGTGTCGCATCCTGAACTGTCGACCTTCAAGGCCAATAAGCCCCACAAACTCTGAAGCGGTTTAGGGTTTAGGGGTTTAAGGGTTTAAGGGTTTAAGGGTTTAAGGGTTTAGGGTTTAGGGGTGGAAACACTGCCCTTTTGAAGTCGCAAACCCTGCCCTAAAACCCTAACACTTGGGATGTTCCCACTTATACTAACAGTCCTGAATAGGGATTATTGTACCGCCCCCCCCCCCCCCCCCGTTTTGAATACTACTATTCAGGACTGTTAGTATAAGGGGGAACATCCCAACCTGATACCCTTTTTACTTCAGGGCTACTGTGGTAGCTTGCCCCACCCTAAACCCTAAACCCTAAACCCTAAACCCTAAACCCTAAACCCTAAACCCTAAACCCTAAACCCTAAACCCTAAACCCTAAACCCTAAACCCTAAACGTAAACCCCTGCCCAAATCCCAAATGCTGCCGAGGCTCCTGTTGGTGCTCAGGGTGTGCCGCGTAGGCCTTCACATCTTGGGGGGGGGGGGGGGGGGCAGCGTTCGAGGTACTATGGGGATACTGAACAGTGTAGCGTTTAGGGTTTGGGAACACTTTTGGCGGGGTTTAGGGATTCGGGTTGAGGATGAACGCACTTTGGGATAGTCTTGGGTGACTTGGTTTAGGGTTTTTCATCGCTCATGCTCGGACAAGCCAGGCGGTAGGCGCGATATTGCCGTTTGGGATTGTGGGTTTGGGGTCTACCAAGGAGGGGCCCCCTTACTACACTAACTATAGTTAAGGGACTTAACACCTACTTTAAAAACCTTATCGCCCAATTTATAGATCCGTGCAACTCTACTTATGATTAGGTGGGGGGGGGGGGCCCTCCCTGTAGGGTCTAGGAGTTTGGGGTGAGAGGTTTAGGGCTTCTTGTTCTTGGAAGTTCGTTGTGGGCATATAGGGTCGGTGACTGTGTTGGTGTTTGGGACGCTTTCGGGATGGAGTACAAGGGCGTTTTTTTGCACCCAAGACTTCTACAAGGAAGATGCAAAAACCGAGACCCCAACAGGGCCCATGATTCAGCAAAACCCTAAAACCTGAACCCCGGATCAACCACCCCAATGTAGGGGTGCATGAGGAACTCTTCAACAACCCTAAACAGCAGAACAACAACCCCCCCGCCCCCACCCCAGTTGGGCTTGCATAAGGAACTCTTCAATTGAGAGGAAAATCCTTCAAGCCTAAACCCTGCCTTGGGGACCAAAGGAACCCTAAAACTGAAGTCCTATACCCTTTACTACTATATTTCCTGTTTTGGTATAAGAACCAAACCCCTTTTATGGTTCATTTCGTCCCGAAGCTGCCTCATAGTCCTCCGCCGAAGCAAAGTCGGCGTACCACCTCTGCTTTAGATGAAGTTTGAAGGGAGGGTTACAGGGTGTTAGGATATTAGGGTTTTCGGGTTTTCGGGTTGAGGGCTAAGGGTTCGGGGGCGGGGGGGAGGAGGTTAAGGGAGGGGTCCCCAGGAAGACGTTGTCTCCACACTGCACTTCTACGTAGAACCGCAACAAGGGAAGAATGGTTTGCCTGAAGCCTCTATGCTTGGGTCCTGCGGTGCTGTGCTCTACCTATCAACCTGACCTGGGTGTCTTGTTCTGCCAAAAATTGCAGACAGACCCTTCAAGGGAGGGCCCCCTTGAAACAAGTAGAGTTATGAGGCCCCTAAATTGGGTTATAAGGATCCTGATTGGAAGTTCCTTAACTTTTGATAGTTGGGGTGTTCCCCCTTATACTAACAGTGCTTAATGTGGATTATGATAGGGGGTACTATAATCCCGATTAAGGACTGTTAGTATAGGGGGGAACATCCCAAATAGTTAGTATAGTAAGGGGGCCCCTCCTTGTTCAGATACCTTCACACGGCTGTGCGGAGAGGAGTGCGTCATTGTCTGTGTAGCACAGCTCGGCCATGCGTGCACCACCCACAGAGAAGCCAATACCCGGGTTTAGGGTTTAGGGTTCAGGGGTTTGGGCCTAGGGTTGTGTCAGCTCAATTAAGACACTCTAAATCTGCATGACTAAACGGCCCCTTAATCGTCAACCTATAATCTGCGAAGCTCTAAGCGCTGAACCAACCAACCCTCGATCTGAAACCCCAAAACGCCACCGCCAAGTTGCGTGCAGCTCCTGTTCTTGCCGGCCGGGTGAGTCTGCCTCAGCACGCGAAAGTCTTGGGATGTTCCCTCTTCTGCTACCAGTCCTTAATAGGGATTCTAAAAGGGGGGGGGGGTACTATAGTCGCTACGAAGGGCTGTTCGTATAAGGAGGAACATCTCAAGCTATGTCGAAGAGGGAAACAAATACCAACAAGTTCTGCTATACTTTTGGTAAGGTTCGGAACCCAGAAGCACAAAGGTTAAACAACAAAGAAGAGCTACTGGCCGACCAACCCAGGACTCCCCAAACCCCGCAAAGCTCGAAGCTTGGGATGTTCCCCCCCCCCTAACAGTCCTTAACAGAGACTATAATAGGGGGTGCTGCAACCCCTATTAAGGACTGTTGGTACCAGGCCCCAAGGGCCCGGATTCCTTAAACCAAACACGAACCCTGGACCCCTAGAGCCCTTGTTGCCCCGAAGCTCCTATATCAGATGAGAAACAAATGATTGTTTATAGTGGAACCGCAACCTACCGCGTTGTAGGAGATTCCGATCATACCCTATCTAGGAATCGTAAGCAGTAAGCAACCCACAAAACTAGTGGCGAGTTGGGGGCCCTTTACAAGAAAAGGTTTCTTCTCAATCCCCCCTAAAACCTAAACCCTAAGCCCGAAACCCTACAAAGAAGGCAGGTTTGGAGTTCTTACGCAAAGCCGTACGCTGCCGAGCTGCCCGCTGGGCAGTTTCAGATCGACACCGAACTCGAACCTCGGCCGGGGCATGTGGGCATGGTCCCTGTGACCCCTAAACCTTAAACCCTAAACACCCAACTTCGAGTGCGGCTGTGAGAAAATCGCCCAACAATCTGGCAGTTCCGTGGCTCCAAAGTGTACGAGCAAATTTCCAGCTACAATTCTACTACTGTAACAGTCCTTAATAGGGATTCGTACCCCTAAACCCTGAACCCTATAAACCCTGACCCTGATCACTGTGCTGTCCAGGGCGCTCGAGAATTTTGCACTTGTCCTGATGCACACGGGCAGAGTTTCGAAGTTTGTGGCGATTTAGGGTTTCAGGCTTCTTGAGTTCGCTTGGGGACATTTATTCCAGGATGGGCTATTCTACCCTATAAGAACCCAATCAACAGCCCGGTTTTGGGGTTGATAATGGGAATTATAAGGCCGAATAGCCCACGGTCTGAGTGCCTCGCTACGATAGGCACACGTTGTACAGCAGAACTATGAGGGTAGCTTGTTTCTAGCCACAGGGCAAGCTGTAAAGACTGCAAAAAAAAACTCTGTCGAGCATTGTCAGACCTTGCATGCCAGCAGCGCCGGCATTGGATTCGATGGAACTCCCCCTCTAATTCTCTCTCTCGCTCTCTCTCTCGCTCGAGGCGTCAGACCTGTTGGCAGCAGGACGCGGCACATTGATTATTTGACTTGCAGAAGTACTACCGAAAAGAGGAGCCACAACACATGCCAAAAATCATCCAGGGTGGTCATCTCAACCATTCGCCCCCACATCTCGAAACCAAACTCCGAAAATCAAACAGCACACCTCGCCACCACAACAAAATCCCCCCCTAGATCGTAAGCCCTAAACCCTAAACCCTAAACCCTAAACCCTAAACCCTAAACCCCACCCCCAAAAGCCCAACACAACAGCCGACAATCGCATCCCCCCATGCCCTGCCTTAAGGGCCGCAAGCCCTTCTTTGACTGCCAGGATCTGCTCCTGCGACAGCGGTTTAGGGTTTAGGGTTTAGGGTTTGGGGTTTGGGGTTTAGGGTTTAGGGTTTAGGGCTAGGGTTTAGGGGCGGTTGCCAAGGTTCGAGGTGTTAACGGCCTTTACCCCCCGAGCTCGGATCTTCGAACCCGAAGCCCTAAGTCAAGACAGTTTTTGACTAACCTGGAAGCTGCTTCGTGCCAGGACAGCGGCCACACAAGCCCCATACGGCTCTTTCCCAAAACCCTTTTTCGCCTAGGAGTTGAGTCTGCGACTGGGCAGGCTTCTGTAGGCTCCAAACCCTACACTCCTATTTGCTTAAGAACCCCCCCCCCCCCCCAAAAAAAAAAAAAAAAGACTCCCTACATTACCCTTCTAAGCAAGAATCTTGTTCTCACTTTTAGGGGGGGGGAGGTTCTAAAACAACTAATCGTAAACTCCTAAGCCCGAAGCCTATGCTTGGTCCGAGTCCGAGCACCATAAGATCGAGACAGGGCTGGCCAGGGCAAAAGAGGCATTAACATGGAGAGGAAACTGCACCTTCCTTCATTCCCTATTTGCAGAGCTACCTTGAGAACTCGTTGTTGTTCACGTACAGGCTTGCCCTCTGAACCCTCTCTAAGTCTTGGCATGTTGGTTTTCATTTAACATCTCCGGAAGCCCAGCACCGCCAAGAGAGAACTGGGAACAGGTCCTCGGCTGCGGACTCCTTGACTCCAATCCTAAGCAGGTCATGCTTCAAATGTGGGGTTCTCATGTGCTTCATGGGTAGATGCAAGTAGGGCTTTTCAGTGTCTTCATTTGGGTTATAACGTTGGTTACCTACTTACAACCACCCAACCTTCAAGCAAGGACGTTAAAGATGTCAAAGGGGGGCTTCTTGCCCCGCGTGGGTTGTTGGACTTCCCTGGGATTTGGCTACATCATTTGGCGAACTCGAAGGGTGCAGAGTGTCTACCTGGCACAGGCGTTATAGTAACTAACTATACCGTTTACCGACGGAAAAATAAAAGCCTCATCTGCTGGCCGAACACATTTCTACCTTCTTCATTTACCGACTGCCCCAGGTATATCCCACCCCAAGCCCCCATAACCCAAAACCCTAAACCCTAAGCCCCCATACCTGTGCCTAGCCTTGCGTCATGGCCTGAGGCCTCGAGCACCCCGATCCGGTATAAGCCCTCAACCCTACAAACCCATTATAAACTTCATAAACCTCATAAACCTATGAACTCCGCATAAATCTCCTAAAAAGCACCCTTAAACATGTAAACTCTTAAGCTTCAGACCCGAACCCACCTCAAAGTAGCCCTGCACCTTCACGCATGTGGGCTCTTCCGCAGAGCGAGGCAGTGCAAATGATGGGAAGCCCCAAAAGTAGAGACGCAGAGGGGCGCAACATCATGTTGTCAAGCACGATTTCGAGATCGGATCCTCAAAAACCTAAAACCCCAAACCCTAAACGCGGTTTAAGACTGTAACTGAGGCCTAAACCCTAAACCCTAAACCCTAAACCCTAAACCCTAAACCCCGTGCATGCGCATAACTCCCAGGCATGGCCTCCTGAAGGGCCTCCTGAAGTCATGAAACGAAGAAGTGTCGCATGTGATGGACATCCCCCAAGTCGACGATATGGCCGATACGGTCAAAACATCAGGATTTCGGGGTTTAGGGTTTAGGGTTTAGGGTTTAGGGTTTAGGGCTTAGGGCTTAGGGCGATTTAAAGGTCTTTCAAGCTAAGCAGAAGCTTCATATGAGTCTGCCGGATGAATGTTTTGCTTGAGACGTCCAAGGGTACGCTACAGTCATAGTGTGCTTCGCTGCCGGCGCTTATATTCTACCAGGCGATGTAAGAGTTAGCGACTGCCCAGTAGCCTGCCTGCATTTTTGCGTGTTCTCTGTGCTTCCCGCCAAACTCGAAGACAAGCATCATCACAACATGGCGAACGGCACGCGCCATGGCAGAGCGAAACATCGAATGGCTCAGACTAGGCCCGGGCTTCTGCGAACCAACTGTTGGACCGGGACAGCGTTTCTCATGTCACCTTAGGTAAGGCATGGGAGGTGTGCATGCAAAAACTATAGCACACAACCAAAACTGACTTACGTGACCTAGGACTGCAGCTTGTAACATGAGAATGCAAAGCTTCCTAAAGTCCACGACGCTGGACGTCCGCTTGTTAAGGCACCTTGTCCGAGTGCCTGAAACCCCAAGCCCCCCGCAACCGGCCCAGGTCCACTCACAAGTCATGCTGTGGGATTACAGTACCCCTAGTATATTCCCTATTAAGGACTGCTAGTTTTAGGGGAACATCCCAAGTCATGCATTTCTAACTCACTCTTCTTCCGCGCCGACAAGTAGGAAGGACTCGCCGTCCTTAGATAGGCGTGCGGGGGGTGGAGTTCGTAATGGGGGGGTGGGGGGGTGGGGGGGTAAGAACCCTAGACCCTTAGATAGGCGTGGGGGGGGGGGGGGGTAAGAACCCTAGACCCCTAAAGGCCCATAGTACCTTGACACCCTAAATCCTAAATTCTCCGCCCTGAACCAAACTAGGATGGCCTTAAAAAACCCTCAGAAAAGCTTCCTGAACATGATCCTCTTAAACCCAAGAAGGGTAAATATGCAATGTCTCAAGGGCCTACCTAGGAAATAGGCCAAAACTTTGCAGTCGTGCAGCCAACAACAAAACTCCTCAACCCCGTATCCTTAGACACATGAGCATTTTGTTTTTTTCATTGTGTGGGGTGTTGTAATGGCATGGGTATCCTACGCGGGCCTACGCGTCAGCTCATGTTTAGTAGGCGCGCGGCCTACGCGCGGAGTATGTTGTTGACGTGTGCCTACGCGGACCTACGCGGCAAGCATAGACAACCTACGCGGACCTACCCGCCCATACTGCATAGACTTGCCTACGCGGACCCTACGCACACCTACGCCCTGCAGGCAAATGCCACGCGGCCGACTTTCAATGATCGCGTCTCTACGTAGCCTTGCTCCTAGAAAAAAACGCTGCTCACATGGCCTTGGGCTCATTGAAAGGTTCGTGGGTGGTGTGTTGGTAAAAGGGTTGTATGCACCGGGTAGCTGAAAAACCCAATAACCCTGAAGGCCCTGGGGCAAACTAGGTTGCCCAGAAACCTAGGATTAAAAGGGTGCCCTTGTAAAAAAAGGGGTAAGGGAATCTGAACCGTCTGAACCCACTAAAAAGGTGATAAGGGCACTACTGGGCATCCTAGAAAACATCACAAGGGGCCTACCTACGATGGGCAAGAGAGACCAGGGACTGCTGGTCTCATTAGCCCTCTCCCGCTCCCCCACCAATAATATTAAGGGGCCAATTGGAGATTCCCTAAACCCTAAACCCCAAACCCTAAGCCCTAAACCCTCAACCCTGGACCCTAAACCTCAAACCCTAAACCCTGAACCCTAAACCCTTCCCAGCGTGGCAACCCGAAACCCTCCTGCTCCCTGTGTGTGGTGCAGCCGGCAAGCCAAGGAAGCCCCAAAGAGAGCACCAGCGGCCTGCATCACCTTAGCACATAGGGGGGGGTTAGGGTTTAGGGTTTAGGGTTTAGGGTTTAGGGTTTAGGGTTTAGGGTTTAGGGTTTAGGGTTTCTTCAGGGAAGGGGGTTCAAAGGGGGGGTGTTCCCTCAGTCTTATGCTGCCCTATAGACCCCAGAAATCCGCCCTCTGACGGGTTGCGCGCTTATATTGTGCTTAAGGGAGGAGGGGTTCAAGGGGGGTAGGTACCTAGACAACCTTGGGGAAGCTTAGGGATTTTTAGGGAGTAGTGGGAAATTGTTAGGGAACCTTGGGTTACATGCCCCCCTTGAACCCGCCGCCCTGAAGAACCCTATAATTCGCACTCGGAGGCGCATGGGCAGTTATGAGTAGGCTTAGAAGGAAGGTAACCTATAATGAGGTGCCTTGTAACCCTACTTAGAACTAGCCATGAACCTTCAAGCAGGTAGGGCTCCTGGGGCATGACCAACAGCCATTTTATTTTGACCTTCTGAAGCAAAGCCTCGACACTAAGCCCTAAGCCCTAAACCCTGAACCCAAAACAATCCTTTTGCATAAGCCCTAAACCCTAAATCCTAAACCCTAAGCAGCTTGCCCACCCAAGATGTAGCTTTCTTGACGCCTCGTTAATACAATGACTCTGACGGTTTCGACTCCACGGACACTGCGGTGGAAGCTTAGTAGCCCAAGAACCATATGGAGGTTTCCGAAAATCGGGGTACCCGTTTTTGGGGTCCCTCTATGTAAGGGGGTTCTATTCTATTTGGGGTCTAAAGGGGGTATACACCCCTTATTTTAGGGCAATCCCCATTTTAAAGAGAAGGGCTGAAAGCAAAATAATAGGAATCCCTAGACTCCTAGAGGGTACCCTATGATAAGGGTGCCCGTTTTGGGGGGGGCTGATTTCTTTATAAGGAAACTCCTAGACCCCCGCACAAAATCGCAAAAGGGTACCACTGGGCTAATATAGGGGCCTGAATAATTTCAAGCTGGTTTTGGGGGGTTATTATAGTATCAGTACAAAGGGACCCTAAGGGAATATTATTAGTAATTATTCCGACTCCTGTATTCCCAAGGAGGAAAAGGTCCTGGATGCCAAAGTTGCTTTGAGGACAAAGTCGATGAGCGTCGCTATCCTGGGCTATTCCCCATAGCGGAGGCTTCGTCCCCCCGATGCGAGATTTGGGGATCTTGGGGTCTTCTTTTGCCTCCATGGCTGGGGGGCGAACTGTCTCGGGCCGGTCCTTCGCCCCCTTGCGGCTGCTTGGCGCTCATGGGGCTAGGCCTGAACCCTGAACCCTAAACCCTAAACCCTCTCGCCCTAAACCCTGAACCCTAAACCCTTAACCCTGAACCCTAAACCCTAAACCCTCTCGTAGGTCTCCCCCGTCAGGCAGCTCGGGGCCCCAGTTCATGCCTAGGAGCGGGGCTTCGGGGGCTTTAGGAGTTAGTTTTTTTTTTGAAGTGTAGCGGCCTTGGGTTTAGGTTTAGGGTTTAGAGCTCGTAGGGTTAAGAGTTTTTACTGGGTTTCAAGCCCTGTGGGGTTCATGTAACTTTATCAAGGGGTCTAGGCCTTTCGGGGTTCTTAGACCAGGTGTGAGGGATTTTGGTGGGCCCTCCGGACAGGTTTTGTCGGGGCCGCGCGTCTGGATCTTTTTTCAATCATGACCAAAACCATTCACCCCCAAAATCCTTAAACCCGACACCCGGACCCTATAACGCTACACCCTGAACCCTAAACCCTGAAACGCTAAAACCCCGAACCCGAAATCGCCAAAACACTACACCCAAAAATCCTAAAACCCGAAACCTTACCTGGTCATCCATCAACGGGATGCGCTCTGGTAGATGCCCCCGAGGTGCAGATTGAGGACTTTGATCCAGCTGCCCTGATCCTTGCCTCCGGGGTGTCAGGGGGATTCTCGGGTTGTCAGGGGCTTTGTTTGGGATCTGCCGCATTCATTATACGTAGGGTTTGGCTACGATTCTCAGTGGGCTAGGACCTCGGGGAAAAAAAAGGGTACTCATTCTGGTTCACTGTGCACGTCGAGCTCTAAGAAAGGAATTGGACCACGAGAGGTCTTAGAAGGGGCCCGCAGTATTCCCCGCCTTCCATTTCAAAGCAAAAGACCGCGATCAGCATGACCACCTTGTTGTGCGCTTGCAAGGTTGAACTACTGGGTTAACCGCGGGGGTTACATGGCTTTACAGGACTTCTATAGGGTTTCTTGAGGCATGGCATGCTTCATCTTGCAGCCAAGGTGACACTAAACCCTAAACCCTTTTGAAACCGGACTTGATGAAACCCTAGACCCTAAACCCTCAACCCTCAACCCTAAATCTTCTTCCAACCTTAGGATCAAACCCAAGGTCTGGTGCAGTTCAAAAGGCGTCGGCGCAGCCAGCAGTGACGGAGTAGCTCACCTCCTCTTGGGCACGAAGCGGGGGCGACAGGGGCCCTTCCATGAAGTGAATTTTGCTCAAGTACATCTTGGGATGTAGTGGGATTTAGGGTTGGGGGGGGGGTCTAAGGATGGTTGGGTTCAGGTTCAGGGTTCAGGGTTTAGACTTCAGGGTTTGTGGGGTTGGGAGTTTAGTGACCGAGGTTAGGTGTATGCTGTGGTTTTAGGCTTTGTGGCTTCCACTCGCGCGCTTGCGCAGGGTTCAGGGTTTCGGGCTTCGGGATGTTTACGGTTTAGGGCTTCGGGATGCCAATGTTGAAGTCAGAAAGTGCAAGGTCCGCTTTGAACTGCCCACTTTTTTAGGTTGTGAGTCCCACAGATTCATTCCCATACTCCGCTGAAATCAATTTCCTAAAGTTCTACTTGGCATTGGCGCCGGTGAACTTGACACCCCCGAGTCTTTGCACAAAAGCCCTGAACCCCTACCCGAAAAGGTCAGGGCGCTGGGCATCGTTGGTCCAGAAGCTGGGGTGTCGTAAGGAACAGGCCTGCCTTGGAAGCGGGTTGTTAGGTTTAGGGTTTAGGTTTAAGGTTTGGGTTTTAGGGCTTCCGGTATGAGTGTAACAGAGTGAAAATGGGACAGGCGGCCCTACATCACCACAGCCAGATGTTGCAAACGGTTTAGGGCATTAGGTTGTTCTAAATAAGTAGGATCCACTCTTATGGGTGCTTGTATAACTGTACAAGGAGCCTAGACTTGTGTTTATCACACAAAGGCTCGTGTAGAGGCTCGAGATTTTTGGGGGCTTCGCCAAGCTCGTGGAGTCCAGACAAGTGCGAAGCCCAAATGCTCAAGCATTGTGGGGTGTTCCCCCCCATACTTACAGCCCTTAATAGGGGTTATAATAGGGGGGGGGGGGTACTATAATCCCTGAAAGTATCCCTAACAAGGAGCTGTCAGTAGCATAATCCCTATATATCCCTATTCAGGACTGCGAGTAGTGTTTCCTAGATTTGAGCAGGCTGAAGATTTTGGCACCGGTTGGTAGGATTGGCACCACGGCGGCGACACAGCTGACTGCGCCCACGATTTGCATAAGAACCCCCCCCAAAAAAAGAGAAACATATTCTTCCTTGTAAGGGTAGTATAGGGAGTATTGTTCTGTTTTTTTGGGGGTGGGGTTCTTCAGCAAACGGTAGGTGTACCGTAAACTCAGCGGGCGTTTCGTTTCTACTTCCAGGCTAGGATGGCCCTTAAACAGCTCTGAAATATATTCCTAAATTTATATGATCCTCTTAAACCCAATAGGACAAAATGCCCCAAGGGCCAGGAAGGTCTTTCAAGCAAACACCTGCCCCACAAAGACCCATCGCAGGCAGGGCTCGAAAAAGGCGAAGAGAATCACTGCCGTGCCCATCATTGATGACATCATCGCGGCAACTTGAACTCCCTGAGGTAGGAAAAGGCTCAGGCTGTTGGTTGCCATGTGCAGCCATCTTCATGCTCTACAGTGCGGTTGCCTTGTGGGGTACCTTAATATCCCAGACCCCTAAAAGGATCCAAAAAGTAGAACCTCTAACTAGTACCCTGTACGACTACTGGATCATTCTTGGGAACCCTTAAGGGGATCTACCTTTTGGATCCTCCCAGGGGTCTGGGATAAGGGGCTGTGCTACAATGCGGGCTCCACCAGGAGTTTAGGGTTTAGGGTTTAGGGTCTAGAAGCTGTGAAGGAAATCAGCAAATGCGCGGTGCGAGCCTGGTGAGACACCCAGAGCCCGAACAGTCTACACTTCGATTCATCTAAGGCTCGTGATCCCATGGGTGCAAAGGGGCTCGTGACTATGAAGCATATACCTTATACATATATATATATATGTATGTCTGTATGTATGTATGTGTGTATGTATGTATGTATGTATGTATGTATGTATGTATGTATGTATGTATGTATGTATGTATGTATGCACGTTTTATGCACCTAAAAAAAAAATTATACATACCTTACATATACCTACAATGTAATCCTTATATATATATATATACACACTACCTGAAGCATACCCTAAACCCTAAACCCTCAACCCCAAACCCTAAAACCACCTAATGGAGGCTCTCTGAGAACCTTACGCCTCAGGTCGCGCCTGGGAGGCGCCCACATCGGCAGTGTACTCCCAGAACCTCGGATGGCCATGCGGGTCATGGGTGGGTTTGGGGTTTGGGGTTTGGGGTTTGGGGTTTGGGGTTTGGGGTTTAGGGTTTAGGGTTTAGGGTTTAGGGTTTAGGGTTTAGGGTTTAGGGTTTAGGGTGTAGGGTTTAGGGTTTAGGGTTTAGGGTTTAGGGTTTAGGGTTTAGGGTTTCGGGTTTAGGGCGTACCCTACACGCCAAGGGCTCTTCTATAGAGATCCACCCCAAAAAAGGGGCCCTCAGAATCAGTTAGATTGGTCCCGACGTGCATCAAGGATCCTAGTAGCGCCCCCCCTGCCCGTAGCAAACAAAGGGAGGATCCTGTTAGGGAGAAGGCCGGCTCCTCACCCTAGAGGGTCACGTGCACCCCCTTCTGTCGGGCTCCGCTTTAACCTCCGGATGGACTAAAAGAAACCTCGGCACACCCTCGACAAACCTCATGACAACGAGGCATCAATCACTCACACGAGCACGGGCGAGAATCTCGGTACAGGTTTGCAAGTGAGAAGAGACTCCGCAAGTGTCCACACGTGCACACGAGCAACACAACGCTGCCCCAAGCCAGACATCACGTTCGCAGGGTTTGGGAGTTCGGGGCGCAGATCGTGTCGGCACAGTGCTTGGGGTTTAGGGCTAGGCTTTAGGGTTTAGGGCTTAGGGTCTCAATCGAAAAGGCGACAGCTCCGCGAGCTGCCAAAGCTTCTGTCAGGCTCCAAGGGGCCACCAAGACGCGGTTTGGTCGCACACGTCCCAGGCGAAGAGGACGGTGAAGTAAGCAATGCTAAACTTCCTGTGTCATATTGTTGTCTTGTTATATTGTTGTAATAATATGTCTATATATTCATATACATATATGTGTATATACATTGAAATGCTCAACTTCTTGCTTTCAGCACTGCCGGGGGGGGGGGGGGGGGGGGTCATTATGTTCTCATGTTGGTAGTGTGTCATATTGCTATGTTGATATAATGTTGCATTGTTATATTTTGTAACACGATATATGTATATACACGCAAAACGCCACACTTACTGGCGATATATACATATATACATAAATATATATATATATATATATATATATATATATATATACACGTATGTATGTAGTATGTATGCATGCATGGATGTATGTATGTATGTATGTATGTGTGTAGGTATGTATTGTAATATATTGTTATCTTGCTATGATGTTGTTGTATTGTTCTGTTACTACACCATTCTCAGGCTGTAGGGTGGTTTGGATGCAGCAGACGTTCCAGCTCTGCATGCGCAGCTGTCGTGCCACAAGGTGACCTATATAGTTGGGATAGCTGATGTTTTTTAGCAGATCCCCTCATCCAAAGCCGAAGCAACGTCTCCAGCCTCCCTAAACCCTAAACCCCAAACCCTACACCCCAGCCCGACCTCTGCGAAGAAAGGTGCTCTTTGCGGCAGCGCTGGGTCTGCGCGACGATGCAGGCCTCAGTTCATCTCCAAATGGGGGTAACCCTGATAGACCCTGCAGCCGCAAAACTACGCCGATACCATGGGAAATTTGCGGGCGTATAGATACATTTACCAGCCCCACATGGGGGTTTACGATAATAAGGGACCCCTAATATAGACTCCTAAATAGTAGGAGCCCCCTAAAAAAGGACCCAACAGGCACCCCTATTTTCGTAAACCCCACATTCGAAAGGCAATCCCGCACAAGGGCAACCCTAAACCCTAAACCCTAAACCCTCTGCCAAGGCTGCTGCGAAGCCGGTAGATGCGAAGATGAGGAGCCTTGGCGCACTTTCATCCCAGAGGTGGCAGGTGGCACGTGGCCCAAACCCTAACCCTAAACCCTAAACCCATAAACCCATAAACCCTAAAAACAATCCCTAAATCCTAAAGTAAAGGTTGGGATGTTCGACTTGATACTACCAGCCCTTGATAGAGATTATAGTATGCCCCCTATTAGAATCCCTCTGAAGGGCTGTTAGTCTAAAGGGGGGAACATCCTAAAGTAAAGTTTAGGGTTCATAAAGGGGTTTAGGGGCTGAGGGTTCGTGGTCGCAAAATGGCTCCAAGAGTTCAGCTGCTCTTGCGGGTTCAGCACGGTTAGGGTTTGAGAACTTGAGGTAGGGATGTTCCCCCTTATTCTAACAATCCTTAATAGGGGCTAGGTTAGGGGTACTATAATCCCTATTAAGGACTGTTTAGTATAAGAGGGAACGTCCCAGGGTTTGAGGGTTGCTAAACCACGAGCCAGGCACTTTCAGGGGCAGTACTCGTGTGCTGCTCTTTTCCCTAAATCCTAAACCCTAAACCACAAACCCTAAACCCAGTCTCTCTCTCCGTCCCTTATTCTCCCCCAATGTCCCCCTCCTCAAGGATGATCAGTAAGGTAAACGAGCATTCTCGAGCCCCTACTGCCATCGAACCTCATAATCCCGCTATAGGCAGCAGAAAGCCGAGAAACATATTCTCAAACAACTCAGGCCCAGGAACGGCACCAAGACATTGGGATAGAAGAGGTCCACGTCACAGCAGGTTAGCAGATCAGTGCTGCCACAAAAGCCTCTGGGCTCTATAGGAATTCGAGGCTCAGCGTAGTTCATGCAGTTCTTGATGCCCGTTGTTGCTTCCTCGTCCCTTGCACCTGTTCTGAGGCCTTACGGATTCATGGCGGTCTCAAGCCCTCACAGCCTCAACCCTAAACCCTAAACCCTAAACCCTAAACCCTAAACCCTAAACCCTAAACCCTAAACCCTAAACCCTAAACCCTAAACCCTAAACCCTAACCCTAAACCCTAAACCCTCAACCACCCCAACTCTGTCAGCGCCTGAGGCGCAGCTGAAGCGCTCAGCTGATGCCTTCTGCGTGTAGCCCTCGCAGTGGCGCGGGGGGATGTCCACAAGCATGCAGATATGGGGGTATAGGGTTTAGGGTTTAGGGTTTCGGGTTTAGGGTTTACGGTTTACCATATTAGGGGTACCTTCTTGGGTCCTTATTATAAGTGGATCCGACTATCTGGGGTCTATTTTAGGGGTCCCCTGTTTTCGTAAACCCCCATATGATACGAGCATGCCTGACAAGGCCTCATGAAGGTCAATAAACCCTAAACCAAGTACACTGGAACTGCCGCTGGCTGTCAAGTTCATAGTCAGGAAGCTATTCATGGGCTCGGAGCTTCCGTCCTTCGTCTTCAGTAAAGCGAAGAATCCCAGAAAAGCCTCCTAGCTTGCAAGGGCTTGTAGAAGATGCCGTACTGCTGTACCCTAACCCTAAACCCTAAACCCTAAACCCTAAACCCTAAACCCTAGACCCTAGACCCTTTCTGCACTTGTCTGATGTCTAAGCCCATAAGCTCTAAACCCTACACCCTAACTCCTTTTTCGAACCCAGGCTTCTCTCCTTGCAGAGTCCTAAACCCTAAACCCTAAACCCTAAACCCTAAACCCTAAACCCGAAGCCCTAAACCCTAAACCCTAAACCCTAAACCCTAAACCCGAAGCCCTAAACAACCCTAAACCCTAAACCCTCTCTTCGAGCACAGAAGGCCTCAGGGCACTCGAAGTCGACGCAGCTCCGGAGGCAGCAGGAGAGGCGACCTGGAAGAACTTCTTTGCAGGATGAGGGTTTAGGGTTTTTTTTCCCATGTAGGGTTTAGGGTTTAGGGTTTAAGGGTTTGGGCTTCTTGCTTATAAGACCCCTAGATCGGGTTAGAAGGATTCTAAATTGGGCTATAAGTCCCTTAAGTATAGTTTGTATAGTAAGGGGGCCGCTCCTTGTAGGGCTTATGTAGGTTTAGGGGCTCCAAGAAAGACCCAACACTGACACGAAGTCGGCATTCGAGTGGCAGGGCTCCTCGCGACAAACGATCGTGGCAGCATCCTCCCGTAGCCTCATGTTGGCTATGGGGAGTTGGGTGCTACTATATATGAACCAAAGAATGAAAGGCTGCCCTCTTTGTTTTGTGGTTGGGGGCTAGAAGTTTAAGGGAACCTAACCGCAAGAAGGGAATGTGGATAATCACTCTTGGGCATTGTACGTACACACAGGGTTGCAAGCTATCCGGGCTGCGGGCTTGTGGATGTAAACGAGCAAAACATGAGGACACTTTCATTCGGGGCCAAACCCAAGTACATGCTAAGCCGAAGCCCAAACAATGTCACGTGAGGGTTTGGGTTTTTCAAGGGAGGCGGATTAATGAAGAGATACCAGCTCATGGTTCTGTCTCTGAGACTCGAAACACCTCCTGTAACTTGCAAAGCCGACAGATTTGAGCAGAAACATCATCAACAGGGCGCGTGGTCGTCGCTAGCATGCACTACACATGCTCGGTGTATTGACAGATGCGTCATCCCAGCACCTACAGTACCCGCTTCATGTAAGTCCGTGGTCAAGGTCCATAGATCGTCGAACTCTGCACCAGCCAAGACATCAGGGCCATAAAGAGATAAAGAGGAGATCTAAGATTCTGATTGCGTGACGCGACACGAAAAGCTGTCAAAGTCCGCCTCCCGCAACACCTCCCGACCCGAAACCCCAAACCCTACAGAGACACAGGTGCACCAAGCACCTGCGCCCGCCCTTCCTTGAAGCTGATGGCCCTAAACCCTGAATCCCAAACCCTAAGCCCGAACCCTAAACCCTAAACCCTAAACCCTAAACCCTAAACCCTAAACCCTAAACCCTAAACCCTAAACCCTAAACCCTCAACCACCCCAACTCCTAAAACCCCCAAGCCAGGGAGCTGCGACTTGCCAGGGCAGTCGAAGTCAAAGCACATGATCTGAACCTTGGTTGCTGAGTTCGTAAGACCCCAAAGTGTACACTTTCAGTTCTACAGGGGATTGTAGTATCCCAAAACGTGTAAAGTGTACACATTCAGCTACTGAGGAACCTTTGCGCAGTCATTTGGGCACTGACTTGGGGGCATAGGTGGGTAAGGGGCATTGAAGTCCGAGGAAATTTCGCAACAAGAGCCCTTTTAAACAGATCGTGCATGCCTAACTGGATTTGATGCCCTGCCCATTCGAAAAACATAAACTCGGATCGTTCTCCAAGGTTTCCTGACCTGCAGAGTATGATCATGATGCGACACCCGAAGCCTGGATCAGAAGCCTCACCCACCCCTTCCTACACCAGTGGGGCACCGTCGTGGTGGTTGTGGTGCCGGTCTCCATGGGAATCCTTAGCTGCACATTGCTCTGCAGGTACCTGTCAGGTCTAGGGTTTAAGGTTTATAGGGTATAGGGTTTATAGGGTTTCGCTTACGGGCCTTACGGGGCCATCGGCAACATTGGTTATCAGAGCCTTGACTACTCGTTGCCTCGACTTGCAGCCAAAGGTTGGGTGCAACCAGAAGCCAGCATGAACCCTGAACCCTGGGGATGTTCCTCCTTATACTAACAGCACCTTAATAGGGATTATAGGTACCCCGATTATCATCCCCATTAGGGACTGTTAGTATAGGGGGGGACATCCCAACCTGAACCCTTTTTTGAAGGCGGTACTAGCGGGCTCGGCATAGTTACTAAAAGTCTTCCCTTATGGTCCCTAGAACGATGCCAGAATAATCCCCTCAATCCTACGCTCATTATTAAGGCCTCTAAATTACTAGCTCAATGCCAGAGCAACCGCTCTCAACTTCTGGAACAACCCTGCGAGCCCACGGCTCCAACGAGACACAAACAGGAGACGGAAAAGAAAATGATGAAAACCAAACATGAAAAGAACGTTTAGGGGTTTGCGGGGTTTAACCATCTGTACTATCACAGTGCTTATGGATTGGGAACTTCGCTTGACAGCCACAATGAAATAGAAACATAATTTTGGCAAAGCAATAACAGTAAGAACAAACAAACTATGGTTAAACATAAGTGTATAACTTATGAACTGTTTTCAAAGATATCAGACATGTAAAGCAACTGTGCGAACAATATAAGAAACAACTCACAGTAGACATATACACGTATGTATGCGCACGCATGCTGTACACCTATATACATTGCAGTCACATGATTGACACATTAGTAACACTGATATTCATTACTACTAGACATAATGATTATACAAAAAAAACGAAGAACCCGTGAGTGTAGAGCCGAACTGCAGCGGCCAGGGTGTTACCTCTGTGGCGCCACGCCCATGCAGCGCAATTTGTGAGGTTACGCCGCGATGAGGGTCGACCCTGGCGAAGAGATGGGGTTTGGGACATTGACTCTCATGCCAGCAGCAGGGGATGTTAAGTCTAGGCTACACGGCTTCGCGGTGAAAGGGTTCTGCAATGCACAGGTTTGCATGGCCCTTCTACGTAACAAATAGCCACCCGGGAACGCCAGTCGAGGATTCAAACGCGACTATATTCGTTGAACTCCCCTGTGCTCCTACAAACAAGCCGCGGGGCCCAACTCATGTATTTCCTCCAAGATTGACGAACCCAGGTGTAAACCCTAAACCCTGTTTTGCATCCGGACCTAAACCCTAAACCCTAAACCCTGAAAGCCTGCCCAGGGCCAAAAAGCGCAGAGAAACAAACCGCCAAATTCCTGAAAATCCCCCGGGGGCCCCTCCCGTCGCCCACAATTCGGCAAAACAACGGTGCTGATACAGGAACCTATTCAACTGGGTTGGCCTTTAAAGCGCTTTGAAAAAACTGTTAATATAGGGGGCCGTTAATAAACCCAAACAAGGAAAATATAGAATGTCCCAAAAACCAACCTAGTCAATTACCGTTTCTGGCGTGCTTTGTCTTTTTGACTTCTTCATCTTATAGCTATAGCAAAAGAAGGGGACAGACAATATGGTAAGTTCTCGACAGCCTCCTCCAATCTCAGACAAATTTCGACAAAAACCCTTTATTGATGGGATGGGGGTATAGGTCCTAAGCCCTAAAAGTTTTACACGTAAGGCCAAAACCCTAAACCCCTTACCCCTTAACCCTATAAACCCTACAAACCCTACAAACCCTACAAACCCTAAACCCTATAAACCCTAAACCCTCCCTAAGGTTCCAGGGTGCTGGTAAGCCAGGCCTGAGAATGGTGACTGCGGTCTCCGGAATGCAGTAGATGAAGCCTCGGAGGCCCCGCAATGTGCTGGCAGCTTCTTGTCTGGGGTTTAGGGTTTAGGGTTCAGGGTTCAGGGTTTAAGGTTTAGGGTTTAGGGTTTAGGGTGCAAATAGTATGACAAGTCATATAACGTACGTGAGAATGTGAATGCAAGTAAATACAGCTACACACATCCATAAAACTGTGTACCTACCTATACCCTCCCCCGCCCTCCTCCCCCCCGCCCCCTCGAAGGATCCGCTTGTTTGATGGTTTGAAAGCCATGTCTGCTGGCAGCCTGAACATCCTTTTGTGCGTCTTGAGTTTCAAGGTCGAAGAACCCTGGGGAACTCTCGGGCCAGCCCTCGGTTTCCCATCTCTCCGTCTTGAAGCTCTGGTTCTGCAGGGTCAAGACAAAATTTGAGAAGAAAAACTTGGGAGTCTGCAAGTGACATTTCGACTAGAATTCCGGAAGATCAACCTTGTGGACCAAATGAACCATAAAGTTGGGGTCATATACCCTATACTACTATCATTCCTATTGAGCTAATTCAGTAGGGTTTATATTTCTTGTACCCCCAAAAGGACACCCAATATATACACTCACCAAAATTAAAAAGGAACCTTACATACACTCACCAAAAACAGCATTATATACCCTGCTTCAATGAAGCATGAACCCTTTTAGGGTTCACTGAGTCCCCAAGGAAGGCTTTAGCTGTTCCTGTTGCTTCGCGAAGAAGCAACAGTTCATGAGAGGGCTGCCTCGCGGAGACCCTGAAGTGTAGTTAGCTACAGTATGCAGGGAGACATCAGCCCACTACCCCTTAGTGAAGGAAAGATACCGTAAATGTACCAAGGATCCCCGTAAAGTTTAAGTTAGTTTCCTTTAACTGAGGGGGTTTGGGGGTCTCCGGGGCTTCCTGCACCTGAAACATCCCCCCGCCAAGCCTTCTACCACCTAACCCTAAACCCGAAACCCGAAACCCTAAACCCTAAACCCCAAACGACTGTGCCACCAGGGCACCATCCAGGCCGAGGACACCTTCCCTCCACTTTGCCAGCCCGGGCTCAAAGGACCCAAACGTCGACACCTAGCGGCGTCCGCCAGGAACAGCCCCAAATATATATATATATATATATATATATACATATACATATATATATATATACCATCATGAGATCCCTCTTAAAAAGCTCAAAAGCCCAATAAACTGCGGGAACTATTTCTATATGTGTCTATGAAATAGCGCCAGGGTCTACCCCTCAGTTTAAGTATACCGGTTCCAAGATGGTTTTGGGCGTCCAGGCTTTGGCACGTCGCTTCTCATTGAATCACTTTGGGCTACGACTTCCACTACAAACCCTAAAAGCCTCTTTGCTTCCGGGCTATGACCTTTCCGGAAAAGCTCTGCAAAAACTGTCAGAATATAAGGGCCAAACCCCAAACCCTAAAGCTTCCTCGAATCCTGAGCCCCCAGCCCAAGCACAGCCCAAACCCCAAGATACCCAAAGCCCGAACCCTTGTGCCGCCCCTAAACCCTAAACCCTAAACCCTAAACCCTAAACCCCAAACCTAAACCCTAAACTTAAACCCAAAACCGAACACCCTAAACCGATCAAGAAAGAAACGGTCAAAGCCCCAAAGGCCCTGCGAGTGCAGATCACGAGCCTGGTCTGCGTAGGGCCGGATCCTGAGCACCTTCCCCACCGAGTACGGGACGCCATAGATGTTGCCTCGGTTTAGGGTTTAGGGTGAGGGTTGAGGGTTTAGGGTTTAGGGCTAGGGTTTAGGGTTTCGGGTTTTAGGGTTCAGAGCTTCAAGCCCAGAAGTCAAAACCTGAACGGAGGCTCGCCCCACACTAGTGAAAAACCTAGATGGATATAAAGGGGGACTCTCTGATACAAGAGGGCCCGAACTCTGTCCATAAACTCATGAAGCCTGAACCCTATGGACCCGATAGACAAAGCTGTAACTGCTACCCTCAACCCTAAACCCATGCTCATGATGCCCAAGCAGCCTGCGCATACTGTAGTTGGGGGTTCATGGGTAGTTACAAGTATGGTCATAAGTAAGACAACCTGTGTTAGAACCTGACTTAGGGCACTTTTCACCCTACTTATAACTACCCATTAACCTTCAAGCTCGCAAATAAGCAGAATGTGATATCCGCCACCGAGCAGATAGATACGTGCTGACTACTTCGCTCCACGATCTCCCCCGCGAGGTAGCAACACACGGAAGCCAACGAGACTGACGAGACTGAGCGAATTACACTGACACAAGGGTGGACTACGATAGAACCCTTTAGCTTGGCCGCTGCTGTGAGGCCGCGAAGCCCTTGTAAAGCTAACAGCGAGGCGCCATCCCCGGCCAACACTGCGTGGTTCCACTTCGCCAACCCAGGCTCGAAGTTGCCCAAAGTGGTGGCCTGCTATTGGTGCTACTGCTACACACGTAGAGCAGGGAAAGATTGTTGCCAGGGGCTTGGGGTCCTGGAAGCATTTCTGAAGGCTCCGATGTCAGAGGAAAGCTCAGAAACCACAGGCCACCCGGCAGATTTTGCACCATGGTTGGAACGGATCTCGCCTGACTGCAGGAAATACATTGTTCGTGGTAGCTCTCTCTCCAAACAATGACCAAGCCAAGGATGGTAAACTACATTACGCCCTAACCTGAACGACCGTTCGACATACCTTCCGAAATCTTGCCCCCACACAACAATAGACCGTATACTTCGACACCCCGGACCACGACAGACACACCAATAGTCTCTAAACACCTTACTTGCGATGCTCCCCCTTATACCGACAGTCCTTAACGGGGATTCTAATAGGGGGTACTATAATCCCCACTAAGGACTGTTAGTATAAGGAGAACATCCCAACACCTTACTATAACCGTCACCCACATTTTGCAGGAAGCAGGTGCCTGCGCCCTACCCGAGAACAAAGCAGAGCAGGTGGCACACAGTAGAATCCGGTAGAACAAGTTGTGATCGAAGCTCTAATCACACTTTGCTGGAACGGCACATAGCTTTAACTTGCAGCACGCGCTGGGAAGCGTGGACGTCTGGAAATGGTAAACTTAAACAGGTATAAACGAACAGCGCGAAAGGGCAGTCCCACCCGTTCGTGCACCTATCTCTGCGGTGAGGCGCGCCAAACATGCTCGCAATATGATGTGACGCCTGCTGCTGCCCATCGCCGGTCAGCTCATTGTCTGCACTACTCGAGCACCGGGAGCACCGGGGTAGTGGTGCAGGGTAGCTTGGCCAAACGTGTGATGCAAGTTAATCGAGGACTTAAGAGTATTGTGCAACACAAAGGTCACTCACTACACGTACCGTCAGGTCGCTGGCGGCTTCAGATGAACGACGTCTTGCTAAAAGTGCTCTGGCTCAGATAATCACCGGGCCATGCAGAGGTGGGGATAAATAGGTTATGTTGAGTCTTAGGCTTTCATATTGCGGGCGCACGTGCGCTGCTGCTAGTTAACTCTACGCATGAAACGGCGGGGATGCTCTTGTTGAGTATGTTCCACGACATGCCTCGACTTTTTACAACTAGGTTGGCTGTTAAACGCCCCCACCTGAAAACGATTCCTATGCGTGCCGGCACTCAGTAAACAAGGGAAACAAACAAAAGCCCAACGCCTGTCTCACTCGGGAGTTTCGGCCGATGAAGCAGACCAATTGGCCCGTGACTCGTAAGGAAGTCCCTGCACTCCCAAAATCTTGCACCCTGCAAGGACCCAGATTCCGAATTCCACTGCACCCAAGTACGTCAGTATAAGAATCGATATAAAAACGAACCTCGGCAACCAACCTAAACCCTAAACCCTAAACCCTAAACCCTAAAACATAAACCCCTCAGCGAGCTTCTTCCCCATAGCCAGGCCCCAGTCACTCGAAACACTCGGTTTAGGGGGGTTTGGGGTTTGCCGGGGATCTACTGTTTGCTTCAGAACCCCAAAAACATAAAAAACACGAATCCCTATACTACCCTTAATAAGAAATATTTGTTTATTCTTTCCGGGGTTCTGAAGCAATTAGTAGGTATTGAGGTCCTTTTTGAATGAGAAGTCCCTTTACACGAAGGACCCACGCAAATGGTAGGGCCCAAGCACCTCCACCCTCCACCCTACAGCCCCATGTCTCTTTTCTCTGGTAGAAGTTCCTAGGGCTTTCATGACAGCGCTAGGGATGGTAGAGATCCGCCAGTTCTAAGGCAGCTCCAACACACAACAGCTCACAACCTCTCCACCAATGCACCCATACAACTTCAAACACCCAACAACAACAATAGACATATCCTCCTTCTCCACAAAGTGTACTCCCTGCCCGCACATCATTGCTACCACACCACCAACACCGGCAGTCTAACCACAAACATGCAAAAATCAAAAGCACAGCAACTCGAGCAAAAAAATAGGGGTTAGGGTTTAGGGTTCAGGGTTGAGGGGTTTCGGGTTTCGGAGGCCAGGCATAGATCCGGAGTGAGGCTGTGCGGCCCAGGAAGCCTGGGCCACGGTCCCCTCGACGTTGATCTTCAACACCGAGGTGGCCCAGAAGGGCACCTGAGAATTTAAGGTTTAGGGTTTAGGGTGTAGGGTGTAGGCGTAGGGTGTAGGGTTTAGGGTGTAGGGTGTAGGGTTTAGGGTTTAGGGTTTAGGGTGTAGGGTTTAGGGTTCAGGAGGAATGATGCAGGGGCGCTTATCTGGGGCGGGAGGGGGGGGGACGCCTTTAGCTTGCCACTTCGTACTTGACCCTTCGCCGGCGCCCAACCGAGCCACGGCGTAGATGTCACCATTCTTGGCGACTGCAGCTGAGCGCCAGTTGTGCATCTTCACACCTGAGGTATATGCCTAAACCCTAAACCCCCGCACCCCAAAACCTACAGTTTGGCCGGGGAGATGCTGGGCTTTTGTGGGGAAACAGTCGGGTGGGGAATCCCTACAGACGCTGTGGGGCGCGAGCCGCGGCTCAAGAGCCATATGGTTCCCTGCCCGAAATGTGCGTTCAGATGATTGAGGGTTTAAGGCGTTGTGTTTGCTAAACCCTAAACCCTAAACCCTAAAGCCTAAACCCTCAACCCTAAACCCCAAGGGTTCCAATTAGGGGTGCCAGGTGGGCTTTATGGGGTTTAGGGCTTACCCTCAGAGCCATTACTCAGGAGACCCGAGGGCTTTAAACATGAGATTGATGGAGCTAGCCTCTGACATCTGTTTAAGAATGGTTGATCTAAAGAAAATCAACTTGTCCACCAGATAAGATTCAGATGGCTTCACTAACTAAAGTTCCAGCTTACATCTTCATGTCCAGGACAGCTGCGCCAAAAGAATGCTACTGGCGAAGCCATCCCCAAACCCACGACCCTTTTCTGACTGCCAGCGAATGCCAGCAACCCTGACCCTAAACCCCCTAAACCCTAAACCCTAAACCCTAAACCCTAGACTCTCTAGACACCAAGGGCGAGCTGCCTTGGCAGCTGAAGCCACGGCTCGTCTCGATGCGACCTCAATAAGGGCACTTTGCGGAGGTGCCTTGTATAAGGGTTTAGGGTTTAGGGTTTGGGGTTTGGGGTTTGGGGTTCAGGGTTCAGGGTTTATGTGCCTTAGGGCCTGAAGAGCTGTAGAAGAAGGCAACCACAAAGCCGGCCCCTGTGCTGGAACCCTCGTCACCTAGCCCTAAACCCTGAACTACCCTAAACCCTAAACCCTAAACCCCAGACCCTAAACCCTAAACCCCCTAAACCCTAAACTCCAAGTCCCCGGGCCCCCCCAAACCGCAATCCGAGCAGCCGTGATCCAGGTCGGCCAAAAGGATGGAGCACCTCAGTATCCGAGGCTCTGCACTCCCTGGCTTAAACTCTTGCTGAAGGTTCCAGGATGGGCTATGAGGTTAGGGTTTAGGGTTTGGGGTTTAGGGTTTAGGGTTTAGGGTTAATCCCCATAACCATAAAGGGCCTTTCTAAGGGGTATGTAGGGTATAATAGCCCATCCTGGTTTAGCAAAGGTTTGGAGACTTTTGCTGTGCAGTGTAGGTCCGAGAAGGCACCAGCGCTTGACTGCGTGGCTGGAGACGATTGTAGCCCAGGACAAGCAAGCGATCTGACAACTGACCTTTTGCATCCGGGCTTGACCGCAAACCTTTTTCTGCGCATCCTACACCCCCTTAGCCCCGAAACCTTGCAATTGCCTGTGCTGCAACTCGAACCAAGTCTCCCGAAAAAGCCCACCGCAAATCCTGCCATCGCCCTGAACCTCAGCCCGAAAGACCCCCAAAACCTCTACAAAGCTCCCGGGGTTTAGGCTGTTAGGGTTTGAGGGTCCCTAAACCCTAAACCCTAAACCCTAAACCCTAAACCCTAAACCCTAAACCCTAAACCCTAAACCCTAAACCCTAAACCCTAAACCCTACCCTAAAGCCAAATGTGCCCGGGATGCTCCGAGTCTGGCAGGCCCAGGAGGTGATGTTGCGTGTGAGGCCCTGGCATCCACCTGGGGAGCTTGGGTTTGAGGTGGATAGGGCTTACGGTTTAGGGTTTAGGGTTTAGGGTTTAGGGTTTAGGGTTCAGGGTCAGAGGTTCAGGGTTTAGGGTTTGGGGTTTGGGGTTTGCGGTTTGGGGTGGGTTTCGACACTTCTGGATTTGTGTGCATGGTTTGGGGTCTTGTTTTCTACTAGTGGGGCTGAGTCCCCTGTTCAACTGAATTCCCTGACGTCAAACTAGTTTTCAACTTCCACACACGCAAAGAGGGGCAAGGGCGTGCGGCCGAGCGGCCGAAAGCGTCCTGCAAAGGCTGCAAGGCTGATGTGCCAGAGTGCCGGGCTACGCTTTGAATTGTAGGCACTGCCGCATAGGACTTACAGGCCTTCAGTTGCTGAGTGCCCTGGGCCAAAAAAATAGGAAGCCCCTTTCAATTCTGGTAGGTTTACATATACCCGAAAAGGATGAAGCGCGCCCTGCGCTTTTACCTACTCAGCTACTAAGTAGGGCTTGCGACACTTTGGATTCTGTGTGGTGTTTCGGGCGTTAGGGTGGTAGGAGCTTCGTCGCGGCTGGCATCCTTGAACGCCTCCAGTCAGCTACGGAGTTGGGATTTTTGAAAAATGTCGGATGAGCGTAAGGCTGAGGTTGTACAACGGAATCCCTGAATTTCCCCAACACCCCCTAAACCCAGCCAAAAAGAGTAACTATGTATACCCTTAGAAAACACTAAAGCCCCTATAAACCCTCAAGAACTATAAATGCCTTTCTCCTCTCCCTCACCCCAAGCCCAAAACCGCCCCAAACCCTAAACCCCAAACTCCTGAACCATAACCCGAACCCCCCCAAACCCTAAGTTCGTTCAGGCTTAGGGTTCAAGATGTGGCTTCGATGGTTGTGTAAGACTTAGAGGCGTCTCAGCTTCCAGTGCTTCACGGCTTGCCTGCCACAAGATAAACCTCAAAGCCCTCAAACCCCTCAAGCCCTCAAGCCCTAAACCCTAAACCCTCAAGCCCTAAACCCTAAACCCTAAGCCCTAAACCCCTAAAAGCCCTAAAGACCCCAAGGATCTCGGCCTGATGGTAGAGAGCCCAGAACTTCGGCGACCCTCTGGTGTGGGTCGATCCTGAAATCAAGGGAGTCATACTCGGAATTACAAGGATGTAACCCGTCAGAGGTTCCCTTCACATACTTCGAATATGGCACCCTAAACCCTAAACCCTAAACCCTAAACCCTAAACCCTAAACCCTAAACAACAATCCCCTGGAGGATCTTCAAAAAAGGGTCCCCAGTACCCAAGGGTACCACCTTAGGGGTCCAAGGTAAAAACCCATGATGAGGTGCCCTTCAGTCTTTCATCTTTTCCTTTCTTGGAGGGTTTAGGGCTTAGGGTTTAGGGTTTAGGGCTTGGGGCTTGGGGCTTGGGGTTTGGGGTTCGGCGCTATAATCGTGCTTGAGGGCTTATAGGAACCTGAACCCTAACCCCTATAAACCCCAAACCCCGACCGGTTTTGGAGTCTGTGCTTGTGGTTTGGGGCTTCGACTCTCACCCTCGGTGGTGTTCACTCTTCAGCCTTAGCATAACCTGGGGCCGAGTAATTCGCCAAGCAAGAACTCAAAACGCTGGATTTACGGCTGTTGTTTAGGGTTTAGGGGGGGGGGGGGGGGGGGGGGGGAGAGTAAGGGGCTCCTGAGGCTTCTAGGAGTTTGTGGCTGTTAGGGGGTTGAGAGTTTGGGTTTTGTGCTGGTTTTGGTACTCATCGTGCGGGTGAGAGCTTATGGGGTTTTGGCAAGTTCGAGTTCAAATCTGAACTACCTGATCGCTTGACCTCCTCCTAGCAAAACAAGGGTTCATAGTCCTAGTCCACCTTCTTGACACCCCTCGCCCCGTGCTTCTGATCTCTCTGCTGCTGCCATGCCTTGTGCTGGCGTGTGCTGTTCGATGTGTCATGCTCATAAGGTACCAGGAAAAAAAGGCACGCGCTTGGAGATGCTGTTATTGCCGAAATGAGTCTGAATCCGGTTGCACAGACATGAACTCGATTGTACAAGGGTAGTTCTCTAAATTGGGATCCCTTTGGGGGGGGGGGGGTCCTTTTCATAAGAATCCCGTACGACAGGGAGGGACCCGCATTTTGTAGAACCGCAAAAATCAGAAGCTACACACCTTCGAAGCGATTGCAGCAGTCGGTGCCTCGGTGGTTTAGGGTTTAGGGTTTAGGGGTACTTTGGGGTTTACAGGTTCGCAAAGAATAATAGTGTGCCGCCCCTGAACCCCCCAAACCCCAAACCCTAAACCTACAAGGAGGGGGCGCCCTTACTGTACTAACTATTGTTTAAGGGACTTCTAACCTAATCTAGAATGCTTCTGAGTCTACTCATAACTAGGCCCCTCCTCGTCATCCCCAAACCCTGCGAAGCGCGAAGCTCCTGAGAATGCCCGATGCCGAAATCGGCAAGGCGAAGATGACCTTTGTGTCCAGCTTCGACAGGGTTTAGGGTTTAGGGTTTAGGGTTTAGGGTTTAGGGTTTAGGGTTTTTTTTCGCTCCCGCATAGCTGGCCGAACCGCAAGGCAGGGTTACGTCTATGACATAGGGTTTAGGGTTTGGGGTTCGGGGCTTGGGGTATGCATGGTTTGAGACTTGAATGGTTTATAGGATTGAGGGATTGAGGGCTTCAGGATGTATAGTCTCTAGGTAAGGCTTTAGACAACCCACGCTGGGCAGGAGAAGTCTGCATAGTGAGTCTAGTCCAGTTTAGTTCCACACTGTTAATTCAAAACCCTAAAACTGGAATTCAACTGCCACAAAAAGGGTACTGCGTTGTTGAGCATGGCTATCCCTATCACGGTAATTTAGTTTAAGTTCTTTTTTTATCTCTCAAAGTTGCGAGCTCTTCTGGGGAATGTGGTTGGTACCCCTATTTTGGGAAATGCCCACAAATGACAGATGCAAGCTGAGGACTCCATTTCGGCTCGCCGCCGCGTCGCGCCACTTCGCCACATCAGCCGGAAAGTGTCCGAACGAAGCGACGAGGTCCGTCAGAGTCTGTACACAAGTGACCTGGCAAGTTTGTTTTGACGACAGAGCTTTGAAAAAGTTGGGGAACCTGAAGATGCACGTGCGGATTGTGTACCTATACATATATATATATATATGTATTTTACTATATAGCTTGTTATGTATGTTTGCATTAAATCATGGAAATACAGGAGCCTACTTAATCACCGTTGTTATGCCCGGGTAATCCGCATCCCTTATCACATAAACCACATACCCAAAGCACCCATTCACGTAAAGTAGACCCCGAAAATGTATAGCGTAGATGTATATAACAGACATGTTACTTAACTCCAATGGCTTGGGAATTTCAAGCTTCGTTGACATGGGCACAACCTGAAAAACAGACGCACCTCCACGCGCCTTGTGCGCCTAGACTGGAGAACCACACAACAGGCAAACTACGGAAACGGCCTTCTCAGGGCCCATGTACCTAAATAGGGACGACTTTGGGCCTTCAAGTGCCTCCTACTTAGGGACTAAAGGGCCCCAACTATATACTAACAAGGTACATGGACCTTAAGGGTGCGCTTTTCTGGGAGGGTGCAAGGTGACTGCTTCAAGCTCCTAAGCATGCAGGGGATTCTTATGGCCACCTGCCTACTAGACACAAGTTGGGATGCCCCCCCTTGTACCATCAGTCCTTCACAGGGAGTGTAGTACCCCTGTTCGTGACTATGACAATCCCTATTAAGGACTGTTAGTACAAGGGGAACATCCCACGACCCAAGAGTATAAAAAACAAAAAAGGGAACCTAAACCCTACAAAAAGGGCATGGCCTACTCGCGGTCCTAGCCGAGCGGTCTCGCGAAAACACTGCAAGGATGCAATACGTCCACACTGTCCGCAAGGGGTTTCGACTCGCGCACTCGCACAGGCGGAGGAGTTCAGGGTGTAGGGTTTAGGGTTGACTCCTCAGAACAACATCTGACACGTCTGAGAGATGTTCATATCTGAGAACTTTCATGTCTGACCCTTAGAAGGCCTCCGTGGCCGCCCACGGAACGCCACAGACAAATCCGCCAGCTTGCGCCGAGAAGCCGTACCTCACAACTGTGCTTGTGACATGGGTGAGCTTTCGACAGTTCTGGCTCCTAGACACATAAACCCTAAACCCTAAACCCTAAACTCTAAACCCTAAACCCTAAACCCTAAACCCTAAATTGTTAAAATGATCCTTACTATTTCTATACTATTCAGGTACAGGGTCCTCTAAAATACCTCAGAGCTGAGTGCCTGGACTTGTTAACGTCCTAGATATGTTCAGCCTTGTCCGCATTTGCTGCGTGGGCCAGTTTGTAGAGGTCACAATCTGTGGCTTTCTCCCTGACATTGCGAGGATTCCGGGCTTACATGAGAAGGGGCCATGCAGCCAAGACAGGTGTTCACCATGATCCAAGCACAGGGCCCGGAGTCAGACGTCCATCAACCCGTAAGCCCAACACAAGATGGTCAGGAGCTGGGAGATTGAAGCTACAACATATTCTTGGTACCCCAGTAACCATATCAAAATAAGGGCACCTTGTTTTGGGTTTGGTACTTTAAATAAGGGGACCCAGAACCAACAAAAAAGGGAAAAGGGTACCACTGGGCTCCCAAGATGTCATCTCAAGCTGCAGTCCAAAACGCTTCCCCTCGGAGGTTGCGGGAAAGCTGCCCAGCAGGGAGACCTTGCTCGTAGTGGGCCTGGTGGAGGCGGTAAGTAGGGTTTAGGGTTTAGGGTTTCGGGTTTAGGGTTTAGGGTTAGGGGTTAGGGGGCAAGAAGAACTGAGAGGGACCTGAAATCGGGTGCCGGCTCCTTCATGGCGACATGTCCTCACATCAGGCAAGAGCCCTGCGTAGCGTGACCATCCGTCCACTTAAGCAACCAAATCCCCGAACAATTTACCGGGGCTGCTTAGGGCATACCCTTCATTAATCTCATAACACCCAGCCATTCTTGGAGGTACTGTGCAAGCCTTCATCCCTAAACCCTAGCCCTAAACCCTAAACCCTACACCCTAAACCCTAAACCCGAAACCCTAAAGAGGCCTTCAGCCTGACCCAAATTGCTCTGGTCTAACTCGGGCCCCCACCACCCTGTATAGGCCCGAACCCTAAAGGCCCCTCGCTACAAAACCCACGGACCACAGCGTGGGAATTTCGGGTTTAGGGTTTAGGGTTTAATAAGGGAAGGGACAGCTACCCTGAGATTGGGAATTTCGGGTTTAGGGTCTAGAGCAGTCTAGGGTTTAAAATAGGGAAGGGATAGGGTTGGGTGGACCCCTGCGCAAGCAGGGGGTCTACAACCTGGACTAGCAAAGGCTCAGATCAACAATTGCATCTTACCTCTTCGCACTAATGCCCGAAAAATCTGAATCTGCACCTTCAAAGCCCAGAGCTATGAAACCAAGGGTTGAAAACCTCATGAAGTGTCATCTTAAGCCCGACGTCATTGCCCAACACATCACCAGGCCGCTGAATTCGCAGCACGTGCTCCGCTTGCCAAGGCATGGCGTAGATTACGCCGCCTTGGCTCACGGCCGCGTGCCTCACGCCACCGGGATGAAGGAGACTCTTCGTGCTGGGCGAATTCTTCTGGGCAGATTCAGATCCAGGCGGTAGTAGGATAACTAAAAATATATGTATACATATAAAACGCAGATATATATATATATACACATACATATATACAGGTAGAAACTAATACGTAGATGTCATAGCTCGGCAATGGGCAGCCGCAAGCTTTAAGGTTGTGAAGATCCACGTGGTGGAAGTATCCTAAACCCACAAAAAGGGACCGATTCGGGGCGACAAGCCTTCTCGGAGGCAACAACATCGAGGCTTGGTACCCGGTACCTTGATAGGGCGTTGAGCGAAGACCCTCGTCCTTGACCAAGACTTACCAGGCTTACTGGGGAGGACAAGCTACCGTTTGCCTTCAGTCCCCTCAAAACCTTTCACCCCCACCCCCTCCCGAAACGCGCTGCCGCAGCCTCCACTTGCAGGAGAGTTGTCCCAGGTCTGGTCCCACATCCCTGTGGGGCAAACGCGATCATCAAGGGCTTGGGGCTGGTGATGGGAATCACAAGGAACCAAGCGGGGGAAGGGTGGGGGGTCTAAGAAGGGAGGGGGGTCTAAGGGGCCAGATTCCCTTAGGGCTCACTTACTTGGGATTACTAAGCCCTTGTTTGGGGAATATGGGGCCCCCCTTCCTTTCTTCCACTTTGTTGGGGTTCCTTGTGAGGGGTGTCT